TAATAGCAATGCATTTCAATAGAGATCTTATAACAGAAAAGGCATACAATGAGAAATGCAGCATTGCATTTACTGATGAATTAGGTCTCATTTTCTGTGTTACAAAGTGAGCAAAAACCATCAATGCCATCAAGTAGTCAGAGAAAATGAACATGCTTAAAACATTGCTGATTATAGTGGCGCACAGTGAATGAAAGTAGAAAGCCACTGGGTTCAAGATTATGAACGGGAGAGAAGAATAATAGGAGGACAGGAGAGGCGTAGTACACAGAGTGTAAGCATTACTGTTTGCAATGTAAGCAGGGTGGCAAACACTGATCGGCTATAAGCTGCCAAAGTAGATCACCCAATACTGAAGTCAGGCCATAGATGAGAGGTCATCATTGTCACGAACGCACCCTACTCCAAGAGTGTGCGTGACGTAGTTGTGGTGGTGAAAGGGTTAAAGTACACTATTTGTCTGCACTAGACCGGAAATAATGATAAAATCCCCCTTTTAACACCACCCACACTTAAACATAAGAATATAACTATTACTATTTCAACGCTGCCACCACCAAGACAATTTATAAATGGGGTGCCTTGGTTCCCCGTGTAAATCAACTATAAAACCCACCAAATATTACTTAGTGCAATATTTAAGGAATTACATAAATACTAATTAGTCTCTTCAGGTAACGTGATTCTTAACCAGACAAAGGCAGAACTTAATAAATGAATGTTTATTATGAGCAAAAATTAATCACAGTGCATATGACAATATATGATAAACAAGTTATTTACACCAACAACAGATAAAAACAAAAAGGATAAAATACAGAAGTCCTAATTACTCACTTAGGTTTTCAAAGTACAACTTCTGTCCAGGGGGTCTCTGGCAAGGAAAGATGGTGACTCACTCAACATTAGATCTTGGCCCCAAGCAAGTACACAAACACCCTTCAGGATCACAGGAGATATACCCTATGAATTGCCACGCCTCACCTAGGGGTGGAGCTATAGGGATACTAAGTGACCACCTCCTTTGTTCCAGAAACCAACAAGCCACATTCAAACTTTTGGTTTTATCTCCTCTACTGTACTTGCCACAGAAATAATAATTGCCTCTATGAATTTGTTATTGTTTTCCCATTCCATAGACATGTTGCACGCCCCGCCCACGATCCAATAGGACGGACATCACAATTCCTGCCACACGGTTTAAGATGTGCAACTCATGTTTAGGCTTAATTAAGAGATTGGGCTTGTCCCATTCCAAATATAATAAAAATGAGGCTTAATTATTAACCTGTGGGTAAGTATTAATGTTTCACTTAAAATACTGGAACACAAGGATCTTCATGAATCTAATCCCATTACCATCAAAGGATTGAACTATCCTTTACAAGGTACATGCCAAATGGATGAAGAGACATTCAGACTTTTTCCAAGTGTAGAACCTCACACCTTGCAGAGCCTTGATTACTTCACATCCATATAGTAAAATCCTTTTCACATTCCTATGCCATTCATACTATCCCTTCTGTCATCTGACCTCTGTGGGGGTCCCAGCTTTAAAAGATGTAACCCCTGTTGACCTCAGCAATAGCATCTCTGTAATTTGTGCCATTTACTACACAAATTACATTAAAGGATGATATTCCATAGTGTAATAATAAATTATGCACCCTTGCCGTGACAATCATCACCTCATTATGACCGGTATCACTTCCTCCAACACAGAAGTAGGTATGTTCAGCAAGTGGTTGATTTGCGTAGGTGGTAGCAGGCCTTCAAACACCACGTCTCCATAACCACAGTTCCAGGTCTTAAAGGGGATGGGATCTTGTGCCCACAGGGATCCCTGGTCCGCAGGGAAGCGGACGGTGCAGTCGGCTGTTGCGAGCATCGGAGTAATATAAGGGGTGAGTACTGCTTGTTGGCTGTTGTCTATGCCAAAACCTCTGGTAAATGGTGTTGAAATGTGCTTTCAACAGCTCTTTCCAGACTTGGCTCATGAGGGCTAGTCGGCTTGGCTGGAGCTCCAACACTGTTGCCATCTTGGTTGCCCCTCGTGGCTCACTGGGCACCTGTCAATAGGGTCCACACCTCCGATTTTGTAGGCCCCAGTGGGGACCTGGATAACACCCACCACTCCACACCACCCGCGCAGCATGCACGGTAGGCTGCAGAAACAGGGCTATTGATCAGTCTGGGGCTAGAAAAGCAAGGAGTTACTTTGTCAAATACACCCCACACCATTGAAGGCCTTTAATGAAAATAGGCTTCCATTAAGTGAATGATAGCATGAGGCAAACAACATCAGAAACAAAACAGAAATGGAGGTCTGGAATCAGGGTCAGGAAGGAGTATAAAATATGTCTTGACTAGTGTAAAAAGGAGACTGCTTGAAGCAAATCCTGTAGATGCAGATAGTTAAAACTGCTGCCCCATGCAAACAGAAAATGTGGCCAAGCTATTGAGCTTAACAGACACCATTTTGCGCCATTTTGGCTCATGTGCCTATATCTTTCATGAAGCTATTTTGACCTACTATTCAAACCTCAAGTGGGTTGCAGAGCTTAAAAAAGTTTTTGTTACAGAAATGGATGTGACTGTTTTTGTGACAATTGCTGAAGGGAATTCAGCTATCCAAACACTGAGGCCTACTTTACGGAGAGAAGCCTGTTACATGGTCATTTCCGCCAGAGTTGATGGCACATACTCGATGTGCAGGACTGACACAGCTTCACTGGGGGACTGATGTCTTTTGTGGAGTGACCTACATCACCATACCATTTTTGCTAATGAACAGTCTTAAAAACAGCCATGATGCTGGCCCAGTTCCATCTATTCTTCACTGTCCCTCAAGCACTGAGATAGCTTGCCATCCCTCCAAGGATTGCTGGGAGTTAATGGCAGGAAACTACTATTACTCTTTAAACAAGCCGCTTCTATGCGGTCACTGGGTGAGAAATCGGTCTTCTAGGGACCGGTCTCCCTTGCATTCAACTTGGCAGATACGAGCGACGTCCATCTCTCAAGTTTGGGAGGCGGCCTGGGAGTTTAGCATCTATTAAGCTTTGTTCCCTATTCTGAATCTGTTAGGCCCTGTTCTCCAGCAACTGATTGTCAGAGCTTAGGGGCCACCTATGTCGGCTGAGTTGCCGGTGTCAGGTCTGATGAGTTGGGGGGTCCTTCTACCCACTGGTTGAACACTGAATGCTTCAGGGGAGGAGCTGGTGTACTTGAAGCATTTAAGGGCAGCTCTGTGGGAATGGCCCGGTGCCCTTAAATGCCAAAATACATGTTCCTCCTCCTGCAAGCAGATGGATACATCTGGTTCATAGTGTTAAATTCTGGTTTGATGCCACTACAATTTTGCAATTTATTTTGTTTTAAATCTGTTTTTATTGAGGTCAACACAAGAAGCAGTTTTCCCACGCAGGGGATATAACGTAAACAATGCATTTGTTATGGAAAAACATGAGTAGTTATGTGTACAAGTTTATCATAGCATGTTATAGCCCTATAATGTGGTACACTTGAAATATGTTTTTTTTTTTTTCTTTTTTTTCTCTGCGTCGGCTGAGTTCAAGATGGGGCCTAATATGTCACTATGCGGTCAGATTGTGTCTAACTAAGCCTGTGGTAAAGCTTTCAGTATATGTAACCCTATGTAATTAAGTAAACTTTGCCTTTCAATCATAAGTTTAGTATGGGTCAATGGATGGATAACTAACTACAGCATCGTACCATATAGCTTCTGGGTACCATAGGGCACCGATGTCGTATGTGCTTGCTAAAGCCACTTGTGTCATCCTATAGACAATTCCAATGTAAGTTGTACAAGTTTATCATAGCATGTTATAGCCCTATAATGTGGTACACTTTAAATATGTTTTCCCTTTCTTTTTTTCTTTTTTTTCCCTTTCCCTTTCTTTTTTCCCCCTTCTCCTTCCTCTGCGTCGGCTGAGTTCAAGATGGGGCCTAATATATCACTATGCGGTCAAATTGTGTCTAACTAAGCCTGTGGTAAAGCTTTCAGTATATGTAACCCTATGTAATTAAGTAAACTTTGCCTTTCAATCATAAGTTTAGTATGGGTCAGTGGATGGATAACTAACTACAGCATCGTACCATATAGCTTCTGGGTACCATAGGGCACCGATGTCGTATGTGCTTGCTAAAGCCACTTGTGTCATCCTATAGACAATTCCAATATAAGTTGTGTCACATGCCATATTCGTATTTGGTTTGCCAGTAATTTGATTACTATGGCTAACATGCAGCCTATGTTCGCTGAAGCCGTTTGTCTCTTAACTGTGTATAATGAATTTTGGCATAGGCCTGCAACAACAATGAGTGCAAAAAAAAAAAAAAATGGAAATCAACTGTAAGAACTATAACAGAGGCTAGTAGTATTATGCAATGTAAGTGAAGCAATGTATAAACAGGCGAATGTAATTTCAATGGAGATGTCCATCACATAACGTGCAATCTGATGTAGACAGTGGTTAGTTATGCCATGCAGGTATTTGAAGGCAAACAAGATTTTTATAACCTAAACATAGGTTGCAGATGTGTCATAGTGCATTTGCTGCCAACAGTGATGGGAAAAAGTGAGTCACTTCATGGGGAGTAGGAACATGCTGCGCTGTGTCGTTGCAGATAATAGGTTAAGGAGAGCAGTGTCAATTGCACCATAAGTGAGCTACCTCCGTGGTTGCCCCCATAGGCCTTCAAGCATGCCTGTCCTCCATCAGTCCTCCCTGGGGCTGACCCATCCCGCCGGTTTAGCGTTCTGTGGTGCCGTGGGCACTCAAAGTCCAAATCTGTCCCCTAGACCCTCCACACCTAGAGTCCAGGTTCTGACTGTCTCCTGCACCTCCCCAGCACCACTTCAGCCTCTGTGAAGCACTTGGACCCTCATGTCTCACCTGGCGCCGGCCACACACTTAGGACTGGGGCACCTTCCTCACGGTCACCGGTACACCGGAAAGGTCTGTGCGTTCCCGTCCCACAGGACTCACTGCGGCAGGGACAATCTCCCCTGGGCCACCCCCGAAACCCAAAGGCAGGGACTGGTACTTCTCCAGGGGGCAGGCCGCCCAGGGTATCCCTCTGCAGGGCAGCAGCTGTTGGGGCCATCGAAGCAATGCGGGGAAGCCGCTCCATGAAGGTGAGTCTCCCCTGACATGCTTGCATTGCAGTGAATTTGTGTAGCAGTTCCTTTTACTGGGTGGGAGGCCGCCAGCACTCCCGACCCCTTCTGATCCCCTTGGGTGTCGCCGAAGCAGGGACTCATGGGCCAGGACAACCCCCACCGGCCCGGGGGGGGGGGGAGCGGGGCCGGGCCCCCCCTTCAACATGTGCTTGTGTTTCATCAGACCTCCGTCCTGTTGGTCTCCACAACTAGGCCCGGGTGCATGTGTCCGCAGCGTGTCACGATCCACCAGCAACCGGCTTCGCCCGACAACAGGCGGGTTCCTCCTCGTGCACCTCACGTTTTCCCGGGTTCTGTTGGGCATCGGAGGTAAGAAAATTGCCTTTTTTTTAGTGGCACAATGCAGGAGCTAGCGAAGATGGCTGGCGCTCCGCTCGGCGGCCGGCCCCGCCCCCCAATTTTGCAATTTATTTTGCAGTTGAGGACTTTTTGTTGCTGCTACACTTACCTACTTTCCCATTTCCATAATATCCTCTCTCCTACTCTCCTCCCCCATTCCCATACCTTCTAATTACAATTGTTGTAATTTATTTTCTGTTACATAACGTACAACCGATTTCAATTAACACCCAATGCACACTTTGTTCATGCTGTAAGTATTGTATGTACAAGGCAGAAAAATCGATATCTAAAGCGGCAACAGTGCTCACTGACCTTGATTTCGCAGGAAGAAAAGCACGTTTCCTATCTTGTAGCCTGCAGGAGGATTGAGATCACTTAAACATCTAGGAGATGAGTGAAAGAAAAAGATTTATTATAATTGAAGCAGTGAAAAAAAATATATATTTTTTTTAAAATGGAGAAATAAAAGCTTGAATAGTTATATAAGAATTTTGTTGCACGTGAGGTTTCAGATGTCACAAAAGCATTATTATAGTTTTAAAGATAAGCACCAAGCAACATAGGATTATTAGGCTCAGTTTCAACAAGGTGACTAAGTTGTAGTTCAGGTGCCTGCTTTCTACAGTATAAATCAAAACCCTTGACGTGCCCATAAATAAAAACCGAGCACCCCAGCAGGCTGAGACACTTCCTTCTCATACAAATAAAATGTTATTTATTCTGCACATAAATTAATTTAAAAAAAAGTTTCTAATTTAATAAACCGTTAGTGTTAACATATCACTTACTCCATGCAGTTATCAGTAGTTGCAAAGTGAGCCAACATATCACTCCATTCTGTTAAATACAAAGTGAGCTAAAAAGGCCAATCTAAGCCACTGAGCTTACTGAAGTGGGTACAGTGCCAGGGTAGCATCTCAGCAGGCTATTGCTTTATTTATAAAACGGACAAAAAAGAGATTGTAGACAGGGCTATGAGCTCTGTTTTAAAGCACTGACAGTCAAAAAGCCAGGAATGAAACTTACAGGTTCTGCCTCTTTGGAGTGAATACTTGCAAGACCAAAGACTGCTCCTGTCTCTGTAAAGATCGATATTGAAGTAAGGAAGTCACCATTTTTGACGGGGATCATTCTACCTGTGCTATTTATTTTTCCATTTAAAAGTTTATTCTGTTTTTTTACCTGTGCTATTTTGATGCGCTGGGATGCTCCATATGTGGTGATGTGCCGAACGGTTCGCCGCGGACTCATCATTGAGTAAACTTTGACCCTGAACCTCACAGTCAGCAGACACATTCCAGCCAATCAGCAGCAGACCCTCCCTCCCACCTCCTGGACAGCATCCATTGTGAAGCTGCATTCTTAGTGAGCTGTCCAGGAGGTGGGAGTGTCTGCTGCCGATTGGCTGGAATGTGTCTGCTGACTGTGAGGTACAGGGTCAAAGTTTACTCAATGAAGAGTCCGCGGCGAACCGTTCAACGAACAGTTCGGGACATCACTATCCATATGATGTTAAACAGAGCTTCAAATTTTTAATTTGCTACGAGCCAGGCCTTAAACGTAACTCACCACTGTAAGCCTGGAGATTCCATGGTATGCTCACCAGGGCTAAAATTTTCACTTGCCAATGGCTAGTGGCGTGTGGAAACTGAACCCTGATGTAAGCATGTTTGATTTTTATTTTTTTCCACTGGTATACCTGGGGGCCCAAATGTGTACCATTGCTTTTATTTATTTCTTGACAATGTTTATTAATAAGATTGGCATTTATTTAGCGACAAATTATTCCGTAGCACTTTATACGATTATAATGTGGGGAATTTAACATGTCTAAATAAGAAACTACAGCAAACCTTTGACAGGAACATTAGGTTGTCGAGTTTATAATCAAGTTTGTTATGTAAAGATTATAAAACAAGAAGTGAAAACACACTGCACAGGCAATACAATGAATAGATATAGCAAGTACGTATCATTACATAATTCTAAGGATTAACATCAATACATAACCAGGTTGTGGCTTTTTGCAGACAAATTCAAATCCTGTCTGATTGTACTAATCTGACCTTACACTAGATGGTAGAAATTTGGGCAGGGAGATAGAAGGTATAGTCATTTGTAAAATTTGAAGACTTTTTTTTTTTTTTATTTCAAACAAGGGGAAAGTTAGACAAGCTGTAAATGTCAAAATCAACAATGAGAATGATGGTTCTGGGCTTTAACCACAAATATCTGGCAGCCATCAAAGGGATGCAATCCACAGGAACTGGTACACACAAAAAAACAACTCTAGATGCACCCAACTCCCTTGAAATTTTATGTCCCATTCTTGGCATGTCTCCCCCACACCTGAGACGTGGCTCAACAACATATTTGACAAGTTCTGGAAATGAGTGGAGAGCAAAATCTGTGGGTGCCAGCAGGGTGATGGTCCTCAGAAAGACCGAACCCAACCTCCTCGGAGACTCACAATGCTGCAAAGAACCTCGGCACCAAGACCGAAGGGCACTTGAAAATGGCGGAGGTGTCCGGATTGTTGCAACATGGTGAGAACCAAGCAGAAATCTCAGACAGTTCAGCTCCAACAGTGGACTTATCGTTCTTTCTTCCGCTCGATTATCTCCCTGATGAGTCCACTGCTGGGCACAGCTCTACGCATTACTTTGCTACTCCTGCGACCTTTGCCTGGACCCACACGGCCAATGACTGCAGTGCCAACAAGATGGTATGACAAGCCCGGAGAGGCATCAGTTGAGTTCATTTGGACACCTGCCAGCTGTCACTACTCCCCCTCTGATGCATTGTTTAACTTTTCTATGAGCAGATCCTGCATATATGATTTTGCTTCTCTTGAGGTTTATTTTGTTTTTTCTATCAGCATCATTTATCACCTGGGTCCTGGGGGGGTCTCTTATGTGTTATCTTGTGTACCATATAGGTGTCTAGGACACATTCCTCATAATCTCTGTATATTACTCAGATGTGTATGATCAGCTAGTCGTATCAGTAATTCTTATGTGAGTTAGCCTAGTATGCTCATCACAACCTAAAATCTTCTCATACTAACCAAAGCTAATATTTTTTTCTGCATTTGGATAGTCTACTTTAGACTGGTTTGTCTAGCCTGAGCCTTACGTATTAATATAAAATTGTGCTGTACCACCAAAATGCCAAGTACCATGCTGTTCTCTAATGTATACAACATTTTGCTAAATATTATTACCCTATGTACCTTGCTATGCTACAATCCTATTGCATTGAGTTGCTCTACTCCATTTCTCTTATTTTTAAATTAGTGCAGTTTATTGTATGTCATGGATATGCACAATTTCCGAAATGCATCAATCCACAACAAAAATAAAGAATTATAAATTGATTTGCCTACCCCATTATGAAAGGATCAAGTGGGGAAAATAAATAAATAATTCAGGCAGTAGAACAAAATACACAGCTACAGAAATGGTCCACATTTTTTGTTTTTATTTATTTACAAATCTCTTTTCCCATTCAGTCAAATAACATGGTGTTTTTTCCAGTGTAGCAATCTGCTTTGTAGACTTTTTTTTTTTTTTTTTAAAGTCAGTACAGGAGAAGGGAATAAAACCAGATAAGTAAACCGTTCATGGACCTGCCTACAGGCAATTTAAACTTTGGTAACAAATTCTTTCACTCCCTTCTGAGGAATATTCACAGGCTGAGCATATCAGTCGGCAATTTGTTTCCATAATTTTTCAAGTAGTCTGTATCCTCCCAGAAGCTGAACTGTAAGAAACCTACAAAAAGCGTATGCTTACAGAATACAAAAAACTAGCCATAAAACAAACATGCAAACTTGTTTTAAACCTTTGCCCCATGACAATTTATCTTACAGACTCCTTTGGCACTCAAGAGATTAAAGCCGTATTTAACCCCTTCCCCTTTAGTACAAAAAGATAAGAACATATGTTGTCATTAACATCTACTTTATACCCCTTACATGATAAGGGATCTTTGCATTGGTATTTTAGAATGGATATAAGAGACAGGCAGTAAACAGTGCCAAGTCTAAGTTCGTATGAGATTCCAGTAGTGGTTTGTAAAAGATATTACTTTACATCATAGCATTATCATCTCTGGGTAGATGGGAATCCTATCTCTGATAGTGTTCTCTGGCAGCGGAATAGTACAGTGCGTTGTGTGGAGTGGACACATTTCCGTTATAATATCAGAATCAAATTCCTTAGTAACAGGTTTAAAAAGAAAAACATCCTTATATGAATCTCAACCATCTTATTTACTACGGAATATGTTTAAACTTCTTCTAGTAACATCCCGCTTGTTACTCCTCTTTTGTTCAACGTTTGCAAGTCTATTTGCTGGTACAGAACCCCTTCACATCAGAAACCTTGGGCCAACGATGGTTACGGCTTTGCCCACAGGATAAAAATGCTGTTGCGCATTTACCTCTTCAGTACAGAAGGGACTTTGGAATGCACAAAAATTGTTCATCCCTTAGGACCTGAAAAGGGATAAAGATGGTGAATCCCTTCTATTTAATTTAAAAAAAAAAAAAAATTTAAAAAAAATTGATAATGAAAAGTGTTTTTCTTTTATTTGCTCAGATAGCGTCCTGTGAAGGAGAACAAGAAATACCATGGAACCGTTTACCCGGAGGTTAGATATAAAACTGGTGGAAAGCCAGTTGGTCCATAAAGGGTTGCACCAGGTTGTCTGTGGCAAAGTAGAACACAAGCCCAAATGTTATAGAAATAGGCAGTGCAGGCAAGGCTTTCTTAAAAATGGCAAGAAGTAGTAGAGTAAGGCACAGACCCTGGAACAGAAAGAGAAATTGAACTGAATATACAACATACAAAATGTGAAATTCATTTAAATACATAAAAAGAAATCAACACAGTAAAGGAGGAGACTATATTGAAAAGAAGAAAAACTACCACAACAAGAGGACATAGTCTTAAATTAGAGGGACAAAGGTTTAAAAATAATATCAGGAAGTATTACTTTACAGAGAGGGTAGTGGATGCATGGAATAGCCTTCTAGCTGAAGTGGTAAAGGTTAAAACATTGAAGGAGTTTAAGAATGTGTGGGATAGGCATAAGGCTATTCTAACTATAAGACGAGGCCAGGGACTAATGAAAGTATTTAGAAAATTGGGCAGACTAGATGGTTCTTACTGCCGTCACATTCTATGTTTCTATGAAATAGACAGCAAAAAGTTATACATTTTCATGTAACATGGGCAGAGCTGGATGCCTATGGGTACCGGTGTCTGCTTATTTTGACTACATATGTGCCTTAAATTACAATTTACATGTATCTTCAGATTGTGGTGGAACGGAGAGATGCACTTTTGGACTCTCTTCAATATGCTCAAAATCATGGAGCAAGCTGAACCTCTACACTGCCCAATGCTTTTACAGCCCACAATTTACAGTGTTTTTCAAATATATTTAAATGCAATCTAAACACAGAGCTTCCAAATAATGTTAATCTATAGATTAAATAATTGAACTAAATCTGCTCTGTAAAAGGGTTACTCCGAGTATTACTGATTCACATGGATATGGGAGTACAACATGGATGTGGGTTCCTGGCAAATGAAGCACCAAGAGCGGAAGATAACGGCTGCCTATGACAGATTCAGGTAAGTAAAACTCACCTTTCCCTGCAGCCACCAAGCGCAGCAGTCACGGTCAGGGGTCTTTGCAAAATATATAAAGACCCTAACACCGTGACAGGGCTGCTTTAGCTTTTAGATCAAGTAAAGACAAGTAGAATCTCTCCCTTGTGCACTTGATGTGAGCAAGGTGTCCTGGTGTATCCTTTTTCACAAGTTAACACGTTGTGTGCAAATAAAAAATAAAAAAAATGGAAGGTTGCATAATCCAGTGCAGAATTTTCTGTGTGACCCGAGATTTTCAGGTGTGTGGCATGTTTTACTTACGATCAGGATAGCAACAAAGCAAGCCAGCGTTGTATTCCAGTCGCCACTGGCTGTGGCTGAAGCCTTACCAACAAGAACACTGTAGAAAATAAAGTCCCCCAGGCCAAGTTTTACACCTCCTGAAGAAAAAAAACCAAAAACAGTTTAACAGAACTCAAAGTTTTTACAGAACATCACAAACCTTTTAAAACTACAACAGAAATCAGGCTTCTAAAAAGAGAGTATTCAGTTAAGTATATTTTATTGAAAGTAAATGCCCTGGTGTACTTTCTGAATTATACATACATTACATATTTACTGAACAAATGCACTTGTATCATGTGACAAAATATAAAATCAAACCGAGTAACGTATATATTGTGAAATCTTTTCTTGTGTGATCTCATTACATCAACTATTGTCAATCTGTTTTACTGAGGCAATTTGCAGAGCACACAGCTTGTTCAAGATAAAGGCACAATAACCTTCATATTCAGAAATAGAGGAGAATTGGAAGGAGTACAATTTTGTCCAGTGACAGAATAAAAATAGAGGTTACAGGCAGATATTGGACAAATTTACTAATAGATATAAATACACTGATCCGCAAGTCCAACTCACGCTGCCAAAACAGCTCTGATGCATCTAGGCATGGACTTCACAAGACCTCTGAACGTGTCCTATGGAATCTGGCACCAAGATTTTAGCATCAAATCCTTTAAGTTAGGGATCGACCGATATTGATTTTTTAGAGCCGATACCGATACTCTGTGAACTTTCAGGCTGATAGCCGATATTCTGTACATTTACCATTTTGAAAAAAAACACAAAAAACCCCCAAAACTATTTCTAAAGGTAAATGCACAAAATATACATGCCACGTGTAGTGGATGCAGTGTGTTTAGACAGGGGAGCTGTGTGTGTTTGTGTAGTGTGTATATATTGAATGCTGTGAGTGTTTGTGCAGTGGGTGCATAGTGAATGCAGTGGGTGTTGTGAGTTTCTGAATGGATGTAATTTGTGTAAAATGGGGGGGATGGGGGGACGGGACGGGCATTTCTTATTTTAATTTTTTTTATATGGGTTTTGTTTGTCCCCCCTCCCTGCTTGTTGCCTGACCAGGGAGGGGGGCTATGGCAATCCCTGGTGGTCTAGTGGTATGGGCTGAGGAGTGGAGGGGCCTGCAGCAAGCTGTTACTTACCTTTCCTGCCATGAAGGGTGTATGTGGTCTGCAACAATCTCTAGGTAGGTGATGCATGTCAAAGTAACATCTACATCAGTGGTTCTCAAACCAGTCTTCAAGACCCACCAACAGTCCAGGTTTTGTTAGTATCTCCATTGGAATAAAACAGGGAAATACATAAATCCTGGACTGTTGGTAGGCCATGAGGACTGGTTTGAGAACCACTGATCTAAATGAATGTATGGTCCCAACCTTGGCCAGTGCAAACACTTGCTTCGCTAGCCTCCTTTCTTCCCATAGTGTATCCTGCTGCTATCTCTTCCCGAGGTAAAGCCACCTATACTAAAAGAAGGCATGATTCATCAAAATAGGCAACCTTCTTCCATTGCTCCATGGTCCAGTTCTGACGCACACGTTCTCATTGAAGGCACTTTTCAGAATATTGCATGCAGAGGTTATAGGCACCCCACCAAAAGAGGAAGAAAAACCCCAGTAAACAAACTGAAGTAAGGTCATAAATGCAGTTAGGTACAAGATCTGTGAGAGCGCTCTACATACCACATAAATCCATTCAATAAAAAAAAAAAAAATCTTGCTACTCTTGGATGTGAGTGCCAGGGCACAGGAAGTTTATGGTGATAACAACCTACATACTTCAGGTATATTAAAATATTAAAAACCTTTATGCTCCATGAGCTAAACGGAAATATAAAAGTGCCTAGGGGACATACTGGTGCTGCCTCTAAAAGGTTTTTTCCCCCAGTACTGAACCCAGAACATGGTAAACAACTATACAAATGTACCTTCAATAATCTTAACAAGTCAATGTAATGTCAAAGATAACTCTGGTAAAAAGGGATACAGACTACCCTATATTTTTTTTTGATGTAGAGATTCAGGCACAAAAGCGAATTTATACAGATACTGTGACAAACTCCCCTTCCCACGTGAGTTTGCCACGAGCTCCTAGAGGAGCCTGCTTGCCAGCCTTCTGCCCACAGACTATGAGCCATACAGGGAAACCTGTAAAAGACTATTTAACTGGCTTGGTTCGTGTGATTCCCCTATGCTGTTCGGGAACCGAACTGCCGCACGAACTGTGGACCACCCGAGAGCTTGTTAAGCCTAACGGATACAGCGTAACGATCCTAACTGCAGTGTTCTAATGGTTTGTCTGGGTGTCCGCCGTTCCTATGCATGAACATTCGGGGGCAGCCATCTTGTTCGCACGAACGCAGGCAGCGGTGTTTGGGTGTCGAGTTCAAGGAACTGAAAACGGACACCGAAATTCCCGAACACCGCTGGACGTCCATGATCGCCTGCGTTCAGTTTTATAAAAAACTTAAAACACTGCTTGGTGGGATCGTTTATCTGGAGGAAGGGAACAAGCTCCACGGTATGGCAATGGATTCTGTTCGGTAGTTTGTTCTCTTTTAAACTACCGAACTTGACTGACCACTACCACTTTTACCTGGAACTATTTTGAGCAGGAGCCTCATGTGCGATCGGTTAAATTATGACTTCCATCGAAATCCCGAACCGACCTGGGTGATTTTTAGATATGTTGGTCACCCAGATCGGGGCTATCAGGGGATATAACTTTAGTGGGGTTTTCATGTAGTTAAAGGTACTTTTGGGGTGTCTGTGAAATGTGTGTTTTTTTGTGCCTGGAGGTAATTGAGTTTTGTACAGTTCCTGACTCAATTATCTCCCAGGCATACGGGAGGGATTATCCTGTTTTGTGTGGGAGTGTCATGGGTGTGCTAGTCTGTGTTCAGAAATGTATAAAAGCAGGCCATCTGGCCAGATTAAAAGATTGGCCAGATTAAAAGATTCCAGCTGGAGGATGTAACAGGGAAAGTCCTTGTAAGGACTAGAGCTCCCAGGACTGCGTGTCATCCAGTGCACTGGGATGTATAGAGCGAGTTCCCCATTCGGCTCTAGGAGGGAGCGGTTCCAGAACCCCAGTCAAGCTACTGCGACTGTGGGCAGAAGTGCTGCGGTTTGTCCCCTGTTCCAGCTAGGAAGCAGTCCTTGGCAGAGGTACCCAACAAGGGGTACAGGGAGCTCCGTTACAAATACCAAGTTTAGGTCAAGAAATGTATATGAAACGACTGGAATTGGATGATTTGTACCCGGAGATCTTTATGATACAATATTTGCTCTCGAATATTGCTAAGGATTTGAAATAATTACAGGTGTCGAAAACGTAATCTTGTAGAAAGCTCAACATACGCAAATTCTCTGAGGGTGTAAACTTTACAAATATATTTCTATCAGACTTGATGGTTGTGAGAAGACAGGCTCTCGAAAAAGAGGTGATGAACGAAATACTTCAAAAAAGTTGAAATGCATGACAGAAGTTTGTACACCACAAAGATGAGATTTCAAGATGTAATATTTAGAAATCTACATCCACAAATATAAACATAAAATCCATATAGTTTATTCACCCCCTTAGGCCTACTTCAATCTCAATATATAACAGAATAGTGCAACCTGCTTAAATCAAAGTTCCATCTAGTAGTTCAAATCTCAAGCTTGACAGACACCATCTACATGTTTCATTTTCCAGACTTTATCAAGAGCACAAGATCATACATCCACAAAGACAAATGTTTCTTCCAAACATATTTATATAAGGAGGGACCCATCTTTTCAAGAGATACATCCCAATCTCCAGAATCCTACATCGAGATCGTTAGGAGTTGGATGTTTTCCTGAATCAGAAGATCCTTCCTGCTTGGAAGTCTGAAAGGCGACCCTAAAGCTAGTAGTAATATACTGGTACTTTATAAATAAATATCTGCTTAACATATTAAAGAGGAATTGTCACTTTTAATATTTTAATAAAGGTAGAATCTCTATAAAAATCCACATACAAATAAGAAAGACGAACCTGGATGCGCTAAAGAGAGATTCAGGTAAGTACATCTACTTTTATTTTTTTAGATCAAAATGCTTGTTATTCAAACATAAAATATATTAGATGTTTGTATGTCAGATCATTTTTGTTATTGCAATAAAAAGAATATACAAAAAAAAAAAGTTACCTATATGAAAAATCACAAGACAGAGACACACTGTAAGATTAAAAGAGGCCAAAAAACAAACAGCGGGCCTCTGAATTCTGTCTAGATTCCCTACGGGTGATTTTTGGCATATTCCAGATTTCTAGAACCTGTATAAATATTTTGACTTTGTTATCAACGCCCTGGTAAACTTTTTTTCTCTCAATGATCTTTGTTAGTCAGAGGTCTGAAGTCACGAAACACCAAATTAGGAGCAAATACTTCAGTTAGCCCCCAGATTAAGTAATACTCCCAATGTCATGGAGAGTGTGGTTTTGAAAACACAAAATATTTTTTTATCAGGTTTAGATCTCTAGTGTTGCATTTTCTGTTAGGTTTGACTGTTCTTGTATAAATATATATCAGGTCTTGCCAATCTGACAGATTTATTAAATCGACAGGCAATAACTCATGTTCAAGTGTGTATATGATGCAAGACAACTGTAATAAGTGGGGGACTGATTAACAGCCAAACTGTGTGCCAAAGAAGTTTATGTAGGTGTTCTAATACAGGGATTCAAGCCCCATTCTACTCTTAGGCAATAATGGAGTCTTCTGTGAGCACATGGCCTTTCACCAGGCAAAACCAGTTGGGTAAACTCCTCTCGAATTCCCTTCCAGTGCAATCCCTCTTCCCCCAGGAGTCACTGTTGCTCTGTTAGATCCTAAGGGATTGACTGAGGGAGTTATGTCTAAAAGAAGGAAGGGTTAACCTGTTAAAAACCCTGTGAATAGCAGATTCTCACTCTTTGAATTTCCCTCTCCTCACCCTCTCACTCTATTCTCTCTCCTCACACCCTCTCAGCTGATGATCAATAGAGTGGTAACTGTATAACGTGTCTATGCCAGTTTCATTATGTTAATTTAGTTTACTTTCCATTCAATCAATGACTAGTTTTGGTAGCAACATATACTAGCCTATTTCAAATGTATATGTATTGTTTATTTGTTTGATTAGCCTCTTAATAAATATTATTGATTTGCCGAAAGCAAGGAGTGTGGACTCTGACTTTGCACTCTGTTTATACGTTAGTATAGTTAGTTATTAATTTTATTATTAAAGGACCACTCTAGGCACCCAGACCACTTCAGCTTAATGAAGTGGTCTGGGTGCCAGGTCCAGCTAGGGTTAACCCATTTTTTCATAAACATAGCAGTTTCAGAGAAACTGCTATGTTTATGAATGGGTTAAGCCTTCCCCTATTTCCTCTAGCGGCTGTCTCATTGACAGCCGCTAGAGGCGCTTGCGTGCTTCTCACTGTGATTTTCACAGTGAGAGCACGCCAGCGTCCATAGGAAAGCATTATGAATGCTTTCCTATGTGACCGGCTGAATGCATGCGCAGCTCTTGCCGCGCGTGCGCATTCAGCCGACAGGGCCGAACGGAGGAGGATCGGAGGAGGAGAGCTCTCCGCCCAGCGCTGGAAAAAGGTAAGATTTAACCCCTTTCCCCCTTCCAGAGCCGGGCGGGAGGTGGACCCTGAGGGTGGAGGCACCCTCAGGGCACTATAGTGCCAGGAAAACGAGTATGTTTTCCTGGCACTATAGTGGTCCTTTAATTCCATACGTTTACTCCAGCTGGCGAGTAAAGTTTACTTCAACGACAAAAGGGATCTGGCATGCAGCAGATAAATAAAAGCTTTCAACAGACAGAACCCCCCCCAAACAAACACACAAAAAAGAATACCCTAAGATTTTCTGTCTATTTACTTATAAAATGCAGTTCTGGCAAAATGACTAGAAACAGCAATCTAAAATCTTACTGCTGTAAATAGTGTTTGTCCGGGAGTTAAGGTTTAAGCCAAATATGCGTTGGGCGTTTAGGGAAGCAGGGATGACAGTGTTTTATGAAAGATTTACAACAAACTGCAATAACAATTTACAGCCCACTGGAAATCTGGAAGGGGTCCTAAACATGATCTCCACCCCTTGAGCAAAGTAGACAGTGGACTGGGTATTTTAGATTACTGTTCTAATGCTTTGAGGCTTGATTTTACAACGCCGTAAAATTAATGGACATGTGTTTAGCAGGCACAGAGAAGAAAGCAGTTTGTCTGACCTGCGTTTGGAGAGTCATAGAAGGGTCCTACCCAAACCTCCTGCACATTCCGAGCGCTATGGCTGGAGGCCTGAGACGGCCCACAAAGCAGAGTTTAGTTACATTTGCCACAGGGGAAGGCTTCTATCAAAAATGTGTCTTGTCAGAGCTCACGCCTGCGAGCACTTCTATGATAAGAAAGGAAGGTGTGGTGGTGAAAGCTTTACATACTGAAAATCAACGATGAGTGTGGAATGTTCCGTTTCAAAACTGCAAATGTTGTAAGCAGAAAGGACATTGCCTCCATAATTGGCAATTGCTTGATATACAGAATGTCACTTTAACAGCTGTATTGTAGGAACTGCCATCAAATAAGACAGACCTGCTAAATTTCTACAAGTAGAGTTAGGTTAGCAGGCAGAGACTGTCAGCATCAGACAGCTATAGTTGTGTAATGGTAGTCAAAGCAGTCCATTGCTTACATCTATGAATACCAGATCTATATCGACACCAGATAGTCTTTCCATTTTCTACCTCAAAAGCAAAAGTATGTCTTTTTGATTTTACAGGTTATTCAAGGTTATTATAGTTATTGTAGCAAACCAAAATTGGAATTTCCTAATTAGAATAAAGGTTTAAAATAGCCAAGTTGAAATGGTGAATCAGTTATTTTGGCCTTAAGTATGCCATTGAAACATGAATAATATTCTACAATTCAGAGTTTAGTAAATTACATTGTTGAATTCCTATTCAAGGGAGCTACCCCAAGCTTCCTTGAACTTTCTGTCATTACAGGACATTTCCTGTATGGAGAATTAGCACATTAGCCATTGTGTCAGGGCATGTGTTCATGTACAGAATGAAAACCTTTAGCAAAGTTGTCTAGTATAGCACACTCACTCTCTTCAGGGTCTTCGCTTGGGGGGCTGTTGCTAGGCAATGACTGCACTGCGGCTCTTGATTCTTCAGTTGACACAACTGTGCCAATTCTTGTGTCTCTATGTTCCTCCCACTCAGTGTCAAATCCACCATTATCATCAGAGGTTGCACTGGTACTCCTTTGGGCAGCAGGCACTAGGGAATTCAGAAATACAAAGCCCATTGTACAATATGTCCATCAACATAGTTTACGCCTTAGCACAAGCAATGTCATACTTTCAACCGAAACATTGAGGATAATAGAGATACAGAAAAAGAGAGAGGTAGAAATACCAGCATATATGAATGCACTGCATTCTATGGAGAATCATTTTTGTACTGAATAGAACACCAGGCTAGAGTCACTCGTTTTTCAGTCTCAGAGATCCATGTACATGCAGATTAAAGGGGCAATCTAAGCACCATAACCACTACAGCGCTCGGTTATCGTTCATTTGTGTGATCACATATGCAGAAGTTCACAGTCCACAATAGCAATATCAGTTTAGAAATTATTTGTTGAACTAGCATGTCAACTGATGAAAAATGTCCAAAGGTAGACAACTGATATAGAAAAGGGGCGGGAAAGGAAAGGGGCGGGAAAGGAGGAAAAAGGGGCGGGAAAGGAGGAAAAAGGGACGGGAAAGGAGGAAAAAGGGACGGGAAAGGAAAGGGACGGGAAAGGAAAGGGACGGGAAAGGAAAGGGACGGGAAAGGAAAGGGACGGGAAAGGAAAGGGACGGGAAAGGAAAGGGACGGGAAAGGAGGAAAAAGGGACGGGAAAGGAGGAAAAAGGGACGGGAAAGGAGGAAAAAGGGACGGGAAAGGGACGGGGGGAAAAAAGGAGGAAAGGGACGAGAAAGGAAAGGGACGGTAAAGGAAAGCAGGAAAGGGACAGGAATGGAAAGGAGGAAATGGTCAGGAAAGGAGGAGGGAAGGCTATACTTTCATATCACACTTTTAAGGTTATCTTCCAACTGATGAATATGACACTAACCACTAAATACTACATATGAATGCCCAAACAATGCACATAAAATTAGTCATGTAGAATTCTGCCCATTCATATTTTTGTTGTCAGGATAGATAAACTGTAGCCTATAGCTATATGTTAAAACAGAGGGTAGTCATAGGTTGGATGCCTTTGTTGCTTTAGCAGAGAAGAAGCTTATTAACCCATTCATAACAAAAGGATTTGGGCAAGCTCTTTGAAACCATGGCAGTTCTAGGAAGTCATCTGTCCTGAAGGAGTTAACATATTTTGAATGGTTTCAAATCATTGAGAAATAACAAAAATATATGCTCATTAATTTTATCATACTTGAATTTACTTTTTTTTTTTTTTAATGGAATGGGCCTTTCAGAATATACTAGTGGTCCCAAAAAAATTTTAAGTTGCCAGTCAGTCGGTTTTCTACATTGAACCAGTTTTCTACATTGAAAATATATATATGGCTTCAGAATGTAGAGAAATGCAATGCTTAAGTTGGTCTGTATCACAGAAGGTCAAGCCTACAGGGAAATTCCTTTAAAAGGAGAAAACTAAAAAAAAAAGTGTACGTGTTATTATATATGCATTCCCAGAATACTTATTTATGCAGATCAAACTAAGGTTATGAGACCGGCTGTGGGGAGGGAGAGAAGGGAGGGTAAAAAATAAAAATCCGATACAAAAACTCTGACACCTATCTAAAATAGACAAACAAGGAGTTTGTGTTATTTTATGGTAATATAAAACAAAGCCGCAGATAGAAAACATACATACAATCACCCTCGCAGAGGCATTAACTGCCTTTTACTCATATAGTGCGTTAAAAAAAGAAAACGTAGACGTTGAGCTAGGTCAAACTAAACAAGATACTGCTTTAAACAGCGGTAACACACACACACACACACACACACACACACACACTCTGTTCAAATCAACAGATGGAGGGAGGTCATGGCTCAAAAACTTGTTGCAAAACCCCTTCAACAAAAATAGTCCGGTACTTTGTTGACTAAATGGAATAGTTAAAGGGACACTAAGCACCAAATCAACTTTAGCTTAATGGTGTGGCTTCAGTGTAAATACCATGCCCATCAGGTTTTTTTTTTTTTTTTTGTCATTCTTTCTTTATTTTTGCAGTTTGCAGCACATAACAGATAAGAGACAGAATTAAGGCACATATCCAAATGACAATAGTATAGTATGCATTGCCAGATAGACTCCTGATTATGCTGCCTCTTTTTAAAATAATGTAAACAAGTGAGATAAACATGTCTAGGTAGAGGAATACACAGAATTGCTAAGCATGCTGTTTTAAACAAGTTATAGAATAGCTGTGATGCTATGGTGCATTATCCACAACACAGAGATAGGGAGGGGAGAAAACATGAATCCCTGCATCATTAGCCAGATTACAACTGTAGTAAGGCAAGGTCTCTGTCAGCAGGGTGTATCCAGTCTGCATGAGTTGCAGTGATTATGGTTGTTCTATACAGCTCTGAGGGGTTGAAAACCGCTTAATTTGCCGTTAGGTACAGATATCAGTTAAAGTGAGTAGTGTTGCTTTACGGGGTGCCTGTGGGTGATAAGGGGTAAGTAAATTATGTTGAGGGGGTGTCGGTTTTAGGTGTCCCTTACCATAAAGTGGTTCCGGTGGGGGGGGGGAGAGTATAGCAGTGCGTCCGGCTTAAGGCTTTGAGTGGTGTGGGCTGGGAAAACGCTCTGTGGAGCTTAATGGTCCAGCCGACTCAGGCGCTTAGGTGTGGGTGAGAGGTGTCGGTTTCGTGGGGTGTGCATCAAACATGTTACGGATAAATTAACATTTCAAACAGTTCAAACGGTAACACAAGTAATATTAAAGAGGCTGGTGCTCTGTGGCACTGCAGGTTGTTGCAGTCATGTCTCTGTTTGGGTCAGAGAGGCGCCTCTTGGCACAAAAGGGATCAGATGATTAGGGTCCCATGTTCGGGCAGCTGGTGGTGTTTCTTCCCCATCCATAGCGGGTAGTCCCAGAGCCTGCGGGAGTTGCGGTGCGTCCGCAATGGACGTGAGCTTGTAGGTAGCTCCCTGGTGAGTCAGGCCAGCGTCCCGCAAGCGGCCGGTGATTGGTCTGAGCGATTTACGCCACAGAAGTGTGGACCTCGTAAGGTCTTGATAGAACGTGAGATGTGCATTCTCAAACAGGTATGGCGTTTTATCGCGCACCATGGTCATGATGCTTCTCTTATCTAGTAGAGAGGAGCACCGGACTATGACATCGCGAGTGACAATCAGGTGCTGCGGCAGCCTATATGTCCCATCTATGGTCAGTTTCCTGGCTGTGTGTTGGGGTAGAATAGTGGCCAGCAGGCGCCTCAGGTAGTGTGGTAACTCTTCCGAGGGGGCCCCATCGGGTATGCCCCTCTCCTTTATGTGGTGCCTCCTGCTTCTGTCCTCCATGACCGCCAAGCGTGCATTCAGGTTTTGTTGTGAGGATTCAACGTTCCGGAGAGCATCTTGCAGGTGAGACATGTTGCCGCGCAAATCCAAGATGTCCTCTTCGGAGGCGCGGACCCTGTCCGTTACCGCCTTGACCTCTTCCTTGAGTATAGCTGTGTCAGCAGCTAGCATTTGCTTAATGTCCAGGAGGAATTTCTGAATGTCTTGTTTGGTGGCAAGTTCTTGCCCTGCTAGTGGTGCTGATATGGCGAGAGTCCTGTCTGGGACCGTGAGCTGTACTTGTGGTTCTGCCCGTACCTCGAGGTTAGTTGAAGTGAAGGCCTTTGGGCCTCTCGTGTGCGCCATCTTGGGCTGTGGTGTACACTGCAGCAGGGTTCCAATATCCCTTGGATCTGTCACTGTGCTTGTAGGCGTCCTTTGGGAACGGCGCCCCATGGTGAGTGTATCGCCCTGCACGTTAGGTTGGTTGTGTTCCGCTGTGCTGCAGAGGTTTGTTGCTGGGGATCCCCTTAGGAGCGCTTCAATCTCGGCCAGATTAGGCCAGAGGCTTGTGTTTCACTTTCCTCAGCTTCGTAGCGTATATAAAGGGCATCCGTCCGGGCTGGGAGGCCCCCTGGGGTATTAGCAGTGTGTCTCTCTCTTTGATGGTTGGCAATTGTAGGGATAATTGCCCCAAAGTGCAGGATTGTTGAGGAGCCCCAAGAAGATGCGTCTGCTCTCGTTCGCCCATCAGGTTTTAAGTCTAACAAATGGCAGAGAATTAAGCACTGTTTGTGCAGCCTTGGGCCCCCACCTCTCCTGGCTGTGACTCCCTACACACCTCCTCAGTTTACACATTTTTTTTTGCTTCCCTTGTTAACTACTGTGTTTAATCTATAATTTCTTAAATCTATCATTTCTGGTGTATGTTGGTTAGAGCCTATAGCAGTCTTATTTGTGTGATTAAAGTTCAATTAACAGAGCAGGAGGTAAAAAAATTCTAAAGTAAACACACTGTGCTGTAAAAATAAAATTTTCCATGGTGGCTATTTGAGTCACAGTGAGTAGAGGTGTGGCTAGAGCTGCATAAACAAAGTGACTTAGTCCCTCAATGACAGAAATGCACGTAGGCATGGTCTAAAAAGTAAAAATGGTTTTATTCAAAAGCTAAAGTTGATTTGGTGATTTAAAAGGAGCACTCCAAACACTATAACCACTGTCCCATGCTATAGTGGCTATGGTGATAAGAGTGCCTTGGCGCCCTCTAAGTGCAAGGAGTAAAACTTTGCAAAATATTTCACTTATGTATGTCATCATTAAACATATCACTTAAAGACTTTCCAACCATTGCTCTACTTTACTCAATCTATTTATTTACAATATTGTTGGATTATTCTGTGAATGTTTACCTTGAGTGTTGTACGATGGTTTCTTTGACACACTCTGTTTAAATCCTGGATCACCATCTGCCATCTTCACTAACCAAATCATGGTAGCTAGGAAAAACAGAAGATTCTCATAAAACCCAATAAATTCCATACATCGTGAAAGTAAAAAAAATAAAAACCACACAATTCTTGAGCCAAGCTTGAATTCAAAATAAACAACTACAAATGTTTACCTAAAAGGGAATTTGAAAGCTAACCTGATTACATGATTATTTTATTTTTTTTATAATATGCAAGCTAACAGCAAAGATTTTTGGGAGCTGTAGTTTAACCATTAGCAGTCTCAGTAGAAAGCTGATAACCGAACTACGATTCAGAGAAACCTGTCCTGTGTCCAGAAAGTAATTGTGTGCATTTGGAATTCAATATTCCAATTGCACGAGTCACTGGGTAACTCAAGATTTTGCCGTAAATGCTGGAACTTCAAAAGTGAGAATACTTTTAACTATGTATTGTTGTTGAAAGCATATATTTTGTTTTAGAATACATTATCTAGATAATGTCAACTTTAATCTGGATTTTCCCCTTTAATTTATACCTTGGTCAAAACCAAGAACCCAATCATTGTTTCTATAATGCTTCTACACAACATGACAGTGTTATTGAATAAAAAAGGCACAATTCTGTATACATACAAGAATATATTAAAGCTGGGAAAAGGGTTTCATTTCTCTCCTGCGCAGTTTCTACCAGCATACGTAGTGGTCCCTTTGGGCAGAGCACTGCGATGAGATCTGGAAGAAAACATAAGGCAAGTAAGACAAGAGACGGACAATCTGAGAAGTGCAAACTGATTTTACAATTAAATTGCGCCACACAGATATAGAATACACCAACGGCTGCTTATTAAGGTATCTGTTACCTGAGGCATGGGAAGGATTATGGTTAACTGGTTGATTTATTTCTATTTTGTTGTCAAGAATATGCTAAATATCAGAATAAATACAGCAGAGTCTCAAAAATGTAATTGTTTATAAACATGGAGAACAGTCTTAACTGAAGCATTCTGTTTATGGCCCTGAATCGGATTGGTGCCTTTGAACCTCACAGTGACCAATAGTACCATATAGAATTGGTGATGACCCAATTATATGCCAGTCTCGTGTATGACCGCATTACCAGCCGGGTTGAAGGCAAACCTGCACGTTCCATTACATAAGCCGAATAAGTTGACATAGGAGCATTTTTCTTTAAACAATTGGGTCTGTCAGTTCTAAATCTCCAATGGCCTTGTGTTGCCACCATTATGCAATACATGTAAAGATATAAAGTGGTAGTCAAAAATAAGACCGTATTACTTGGGACAACAGCCCCATTTCAATGCTAGAAACTCCATACACCTATATCATACTAAGATGAAAGATCCACGTGGGAGCTGAAACGTTGACTTTTTAAATGGATTGAATAAAAGTTAAATTTTATTTGAAAATCTCTATAAAGTCCTTGGAGTGCGGTCATTTCTGCTGTGTCTATATCATACCAAGAAGTGCATATTTTCATACTTAGCTGTGCACATGCTTAGTTGAATTTATTTTAAAGCATATTAAAATCCTTAACAGATGTCCATTTAGACATCTTCACAGAGGACACATGGAGAGAAAAAAAAATTCCTCCACATTTGTATAAAATTGATTTTTTTATTATTATTACTGGCAACATATTCTGCAGCGCTGTACAATTGGGAAAGACAACACAATACGGACAGATACAATAGGTAGAAGGCCCTGCCCGTGAGCATACAATCTAAATGACGTATATCAGGAAATGCTGCCCTGTGGTCAGATTGTATGAATTTACAAACATCTTTTTTAATTCTTTTCTTCCTTTTCAAATCTATGCTTACCATAAACAGATATCACTGCTAGGATAAGCCAGGCTGTCCATTCTGGGAGATATTTAATAAATACAAGAGCCATTAGGGCACTTATCATAATGAGATAAGCTTGCTGTAGAATGAGGGGTCCTTTCCAGTGGATACAGATCATTCCCACAACACCAAAATTCCATATCATCAGAGCCAGCGTGATGTAATCCATGGCTACATTATATGTTTTGAACACTTCTCTGAAAAGAAAGAAGACGGAATTTTTAAAGCTCTGGAAACAAAAATCTATATTTTATAAAAAGGAGATGAACAGAATAAAAATGTGTTTAAAAAGATTAAAGAATGTTTGACAGATTCCGGAAACCAGGTCACCATGGTGACACAAATGGTACCTGGGGCTGATAATGTGTGCCTTGCTTCAGTATATATTTTTCACTATCACATTATCTTTAGAACGCATTAAAAGACATGGCTGAAATCCACTTTACAGTGAAATATCAAAGTCTGATTTCATGTTATATTTTGAATATTGGAATATTAAATCATGTTCTTCCTTCGAAGTAAAGTTTGCAACAATAAGCACGTGATGGGTAAACTGTAAAAAAAAAAAAAAAACACAACGGTCATGTTTTTGATTGTTTTAAAACATGACATGTGCATGCAATGTTAGCAAAATAAAAGAGAATTAAAAAATTTGGCTCACGTTAGTTTAGTCGAAGCCTACAAAAACAAAGACACCTACAATTTTATTTTTCAGAGAGGTATATCAAGTAGGTTTTGATGCTGGGTGCAGACATTTTAGGAAAGTAGCACTAGAAGATTTTATAACTTGAACTGTAGGAGCAGCGAAACAAGTAGTACTGGACCTCCTGATAATACCGGAATTAAATGACCACTCTTATCGCCAGAGCAACTCTGCATTACTGCGAAGGTTCTGGTGCTGAGTGAATTACAACTGCAGAGATTTGCAAAAATGTTTACTTGCTCATTTATAAGCCATCTAACTTGTAACTGTCCAAAACAGAACTTCTGGTCTTTCCTCCCTCAAGTGTTACTACTACTGTGTCTGTCTCCCTCCAAGTCAACGGCGCTACCATCACCTCTACCTCACAGGCTCGCTGCCTGGGTGTTCTTTTTGACTCAAACCTCTCCTTCACCCCTCATATCCAATCAATCACCAAATCCTGTCGCTTTGATCTCAAAAACATAGCGCCCATTCGCTCCTATTTAACCCCAGATGCGGCTAAGGTGCTGGTCCATGCTCTTGTTTTCTCTCGCCTTGACTTCTGCAATACCCTTCTCAGTGGTCTTACATGATTGCACCGCTGCAATCTATAATGAATGCAGCAGCGAGGCTCATTTTCCTGTCCGCTCGCACCTCCCACGCCTCCCCGCTCTGTCAGTCCCTGCACTGGCTTCCAGTTAAATATAGGGCTCAATTTAAAATTCTGGTGCTTGCTTACAAGTCCCTACATAATGCTGCTCAACCTACCTATCCTCCCCAATACACAAGTATGTCCCATCGAGGCCCCTACGCTCTGACAAAGACCTACATCTATCCTCTGTCCGTCCTCCCACCTCTGATGCTTGCCTCCAAGATTTCTCCAGGGCTGCACCTCTTCTGTGGAACGCCCTTCCCTTCTCCGTAAGACTTTCACCCAGTCTCCACTCATTCAAAAAGATAATTGAAAACTCACTTCTTCAAGAAAGCATATCAGTTAAACTGTAAGCAGGTTTTTATCCCCCACATCCCATGACTCCTCTCCTGCAACTGTCAAAAATTACATACTAAGCCCTCAATGAATACTTTTCTAACAACCTACTTCGTATCCCTACTTTTACCCTTTTGTGTCACTATACCCCACTCCCTCTAGAATGTAAGCTCATTGAGCAGGGCCCTCCACCTCTCTGTTCCTGTATGTCCAGTTGTCTGGTTAAAATTACATGTCTGTTAGTCCACCCAATGTACAGCGCTACGGAATGTGATGGCGCTATATAAATAATAAGAATAAACAAAAGGAAAATCATATCTTCCCTTTCTGGAAAAAAAATCTGAAAAAAAATAAAAAATAAATCTTTGAACTAGGATATCATGAGTTAACTCTGGCTTATGGATAAAATCTGTATCCCAAAAACTCCACTTCCATTTCATGGGGGTTTATGTGAAAATAAGACTCCACTAATCAGGGGCTAATGAGGGGCTCTAGATTGACGGAGCTTCAGGGAAGAATCCGATGGTTGCGGATACATGTCTAGAACAGCGGCAAACCCTGGCATTAAAGGGACAGTCTAAGCACCAACATCATTTAATCTCAGCAAAATCATTTTGGGGAATTTATTTATTACTGGTATTTTTAAAGCGCCAACAGATTCCGCGGCGCTGTACAATTAGTGGAGGACGTACAATATACACAGACAAATACAAAAAGGTAGAGAGGGTCCTGCCCATAAGCTGATATCTAGCCACTGAAGCTCTTTTATATAAAGTGCTTAGCTAGATTGCCTGTGAGCTTACAATCTAAAAGGAGGAATAGATGCGGTTTGAAAACATTGTTGTTTCCCACCACAGCATGTAGCAAAGAAGCTGTGAGTGGAGAAAGAGCAGTTTAGGGTTTCAGTTTAGCTACTAGAGTTGACACCATCCATAAAAAAAGTGCACAAAAAATAATCTATATGATAAAAATCTGCAATGGGTTTAAATCAAATCTGTGAACTTCCTAATAATCAGTAGCAGGACAACAATCGAAGTGCCAACCCCAAAAGGAAAGTTTAATTAATCCTGAAAGTTGTATGTCCACTCTAACTTCAAGGCAACTCAGTCGTAACTTCTTAACCTCTGCTGGCTCTTTTCAGTCTAGAGAAAGGAATGTATCTACTAAAGTAAGTGGATTACGGAGATAAACATTATTTTACAAGTACAGAATTAATTGTCAATCACATGATCAGCACACAGATGGAATATATTCCTAAATCCTCAACAGCATTATTTCCTGGTGATTTCAGTTACAATTAAAGTCTCGAACCTTCAATATAAACAACATTTGCGATCTATAGAATTTAAATTTCACCAGCAGAAGTATTTCTGGATCTGCATTATCTGTAAAGGAACACCATATATATGTTTTTTTAGCATGACATATATAATTTAAGGATCTTACGGTTTTTCAGAGGGTATTGGACTGTTTCTTTCAGATCTACTTACCCCAGATAGATAAAGGAGAAGAAAAACAGTAACAACAGGGAAGATATGATGAGCCAACCATGGATAACCTGGAAAAGAGAACAAGGACAGAAATTAGTTTTTTTTTTAAATGTAAGTTTGCTTGTTATGTCTGGCACAGCATTAATAGATTATTTATAAACCGCCAACAAATGCCGCAGCGTCTCCAGTACCAACACCGGAGAGCCGGAAACACCTAAACAGGGACTTCTGTTAGATCTCCTGAACTTGCACTGCAGTAACGATAACTTCAGTGTAGGAATGTCGAATACACAGTGAGGAGACGGACACAGCTGGAATAAATGGACATTTTATCGATTTCAATTCTTCCAGTGCCAAAATGGGAGAACATTTATTAAAGGGACGCTATAGTCACCCAGATCACTTCAGTTCATTGAAGTGGTGTGGAGGCATATTCCCAGGTCCCTTAACAACGCAAAGGTAATTATTGCCGTTTTTAAATAAACTGCAATCATTACCTTTGTGGGTTAACTCCACCTCTAGCCACTAGAGGGACTTCTGGTTCGTTAGGCGACTTTTGGTCCAGTGTCATCCAAAATGCCATAGGAAAGCATTATATAATGCTTTACTAAGGGGGGTGGGGGGGTGAATGGGGGAGTCCGTATGCGAGCCCTGCCATTGCAGCACATGCGCATTAGGTCTCCTGTCGGCATTACATCGGCAGGGAAGGATTGGAGACGGAGCCCAAGCCAGCATCGAGAAACATCATCGCTGGAATCTGGTAAGTGACAGAAAGGGGTTCTAACCCATTCAGGAAGAGAGGGAAGAAGAAGGGGGCACTTTAAACTTTGATTTCCTGGCACTATAGTTTCTCTTTAAGAAACGGGGGCGGAGGGAGGGGGAAAATAAGGCTCTAGTTCTGAAATACATGCAAACACAAATGTTACTGGCAATCTATGGATTCCTTAAAGGGTCGCAAGATTCTGGTTTTATTTATGGGCACTCATTAAAAATAAACACTTTAAGAATGTGGTTTCTTGGGGATGGTTTTTGTAAAATACATCCTTTAAGCATTTATTTGTTGCAGGAGCCTGTAGACCAGGGGATCTCAACCCAGTCCTCAGGACCCCCTACCAGTCCAGGATTTGGGGATTACCTGGGTGTGTCTCAGGTGTTTAGAAAAAGGGAAAAAAAACACCTTAGACTCTAAGGTGTTCTTTTTCTTCTTTTTCTAAACACCTTAGACACACCCAGGTAATCCCCAAATCCTGGACTGGTAGGGGGTCCTGAGGATTAACGTTGAGAACCCCTGCTGTAGACCAAGTCATATATATAAAAAGGTTGGAGAGAGGAAAAACGATCCAGAGAAAAAGGAAAGAAATGGGGGGAAAACAAGCAATTTACAGATTGATCTCATTGCATACACGGTTTGTTTACATCTCTCAACAAACCAAACCAGAGTATTGATCAAAGGGGTAAGAGCGGATAAAATGCCAGCACGTGCAGAAGCTATGAGACAGACGTAAATTACAACTACTGGCCATAGATACACTTCGATTTATTCGCTTCGAGCAAATCCCTCAATTTTATGTATTAAGAAAGGAACCCTAATACATAATATATATATCTATCAGGAAAGGAAAGCAATTTAAAAAATAAAAATACACCCTAGGTTAACCATAGTATGTCATTTATTCTGTGAAGTCACTTTGTCATGTGTTAATAGATGAATTGTTTTCACATTATTGTCCTTTCTTAACTGGTGAATTCCAACCATCATGTAAAGACAAACTATGCTCTGGGGCCACAACCTGTCACCATCACTTGGCTGTGCAGCATTTCATGCATAGTCTAGCATTCAGCTACATATTTTCCTGTAGGCTTATTACCGGACCTTTTTTTCTCATATATTGCTTTATCTTAAAAAATATATGTATATCATCTACAATGCAGCTATACAGCATTCCGCAGAGTAGCAAGGCTCGTTTAGATGCAGTGAAGCCCTGGGGGTTAAGGTTTGACGCCAAATTTCTGACAAATGCTTTAAGGTTCCAAATATAATTTATTTGCGGTTATTAAAAGCTTGCTAGGACCGGAGTCAAAACTAGTTACGGTATATCATATATATAGGTGTCCTTGTTGAATACAAGATAAACACACACTCCCTGGGGAGCAGCTGCAATCAATCCCGGCCCCTCCTGCAATTTGCAGCTGTCATCAGAGATTGTGACTCAATTTTCGGCAGCCTGGGACATGTACAGCTAGTACTTCAGACACTTTATAAAGATTGACAGACTCTACAATTGACTGTGCGCCATGTCATAAAATATGATCAGTCTGATGAAATGGCAACAACTTTTAAATGCCCCTCTCTCTCTACTCTTCTAGTTCAGTTCAAAATGCAAAAAGATTTTCAGTACACACTAGGGTTAATTACTAAAGTGAGATTTACAGGGAATTTAAAGTGTATGTGACAATATTGTATTTTTTGCGCTTCTTGAATATTTCTATTGATTTTTACTTTAAATTAACCGAATGTTGCTGGTCATCCGCTCTTAAGTACGCAGGAATTATTGCCAAATCACCTGGAAAACCCAGGGTCATCCCCACAAAATGTTTGAGACATGTAGTATGCATGATTTATGAACCTAGCATCATTATGCAGCACTGAAATGCCAAATCTAATTGTAACCGATACATTCTATCATATATGCAAACGCGACTAAGGTATCCAAAATGCACGCGCAATTGTAATGCAACTTCGTGTCTGAATAAAAATTGTCAAATTTTTAAAAAAAATTTAGCCGAATATTTTTTTATGTTCAGCTATTTTTTTTATTTTTTATTATTCTTTATTTTTGTGGTACAAAGGATTGGGCACGCGCTCTTGCAATGCCCCAACAGCAATAACAATAAGTGTAATATAAATATTTTAACAAGTACAAGACATAGTAGATCACTGCACACATTTTTTGATTAAGTAGTAAATTCACAGGCTATTCGAACATGTCTGAAGTATATAGAAAAATTAATTATGCAATTAATGTGAGCTACCTAGACATGTGAACGGTTATGTAGAAATGGGTTATAAGACATGCTTGTGAGACAGGAGTATGGAAATAAAAAAAAAATAAAAAAAGTAAAATATGAGTAAATAGAAGGCAAGATAAGTATGCGTATTAGCATGATGATAACAGGTAACAGGCTTTCTGTAAACATGCCTAGCAGGTATAAGTAGAAATTATAAAAATATAAAAAAAAGGCTAAACACGCTGGAATATCTAATATAACTGTAAAGCTATTGTTCCACCGGGTCTTATTCAAATGTATTGGGCAGGTATGACAAATGGCTTCCACTATTCTCAGTTGGAGCTTAGACTGTGGGCCAGCATACTATGAGGGGAGCGTGGTCAGCCGACTAGCTCAGGGAGTGCACAGAAAGTTTGCAGAGACTCCGTTTCCCCTTCGTGGTCTTGTACTGGATTGAGAATACAGTCGTTCTGTGGGTATGGAAGCTCAGGCACGAGACGCCGGCTTCTTGCTTGGTTGAGGATTTCTTCCGACCCCAGGCCTGTAGGAGTGCCTGTTCTGTAGGTCCACTGCTTCTGGCACTCCTGGGAGTTGAGTTCTTTCCTGCTCCAGGACGGGTAGAGGGTCTGAATGGTGCGGTCTGCCATTGGTAAGTAATCTGCTGCACATGTGGGTGCTGGGCCGAGGCAGCGCCTCGGATGGCTCTTGGTCCAGGTGTGTAGGGAGCCCTGTTGGAAGGTACTTGTGTGTCTGGAGCACCTTGGACGGGTCCCAGTTGCTTTGACATTGTAGCTTGAGGGGTCTTTAGCTGTGGTCGAGTGCTGAGGCGACGCCAGAACTCCTGGCAGAGTGCCTCGAACCTGGCGTTAAACGATTCCCTCCACTGCTGTATCTCAGGGCTTTGTCTGCTGTTAGGGATCCGTTTGTGTTACTGTCGGATGTTAACTTTGGGTACCCACTGGGGACTGGGATAACCCCCGCCAATCCAAGGGGGGGAAGCGGGGCTCCTGAAGTGAAGCACTATGTGGCAGGCACCACCACGGGAGCGTGGCCGCCTCTCGCCCCGGCCAGTGCCTGCTCAGGTAGGACTCTGCTAGGAATACGGTTGCTGCTCAATAAGGGGGTCCGGTCTGGGTTGGACAGCTTGTTCTTGGCTTGCTTATGCGTCAGTTCGGAGCTCAGATTCTTGGTTAGCAGGGGTTTTTGCTTGAATTTAGCTCAAGTTAGCAGGAGCTAGTGAGAAAAACACATCCAGCCAGCTATTGTGACCGTAACATTTTAAAATTCATTTTGAATCCCCGGCACTTCTCACTTTAGTGAATAACTTTGTTCAGTCCCTGAACTCTGGCATATATTATTGTCAGCTCGATCATCTTGACTCCTATTATTTGCACTGTTCCTCTAACGTACAAAACGATTATCCAATTTTAGCCCTCCTGATTGAAACATTTTCTTTCTTTGGCAATTGGCAGCCTCTCATGGCTTCATAACTGCCCTTTCAAGATTCAAGAGAAAAAACGTTGGGCCAGAGACTACTAGAGGGAAATTTCTAATCCCAAAATAATCATCATTTTGGCTCTGTAGATTCCCTTCCATCCAACCCGCTCTGTGTTTAAAAAAGTAAAAATAAAGACTACTCACCTTGTTTCCAGCGTTGGGTGTCCTCTGCTGCAGCTGCACCTTTTAAAATGTAGGTATGCCTGACAACATCTCTGCGGTTGCTTTTTTTTCTCATAGAGAAACAATGAATTGCAGGGATGCATGCGCGGCCAAACGTTGTGCTCCTCCAGTCTGTCATCAGCAGCATTGGATTTCCAGGCCATGTTTTACTCTAGTGGACTCTAGTCACTATGACAGCCACTGGAAGCTGATTTAACCCTGCAATGTTAACACTGCAGTTTCTAAAAAATAAAAAAATAAACTGCAATGTTCTGCATTGCGAGGTTAAAATGACGGCACCACTGCATTGAGATAACGTGGTCTGGGTGACTATAGTGTTCCTTCAAATAAAAATGGGCTGCTTCTATATCTGTTCTGTTCTTCAGAAATAACACTCACACAGGGATGACAAAAACAAATTAATAAATGGTGGCTGGTGCACAGGGGCATAAATGTACAATACTGCCTTGTAGAGCCTAGCTAAGACCCATGAAGTCCTGACTGTGCCATTCAAAAATCCAACCACAAGTGGCATATTCTATGTAAATGGACAACAAAATGGTATTTCCAGCCCATTTATATGATTTACTCAATCTAGTCAAAAGATATACAGAGACAAAAGTAGGGATAACTTTGTCTCAATATTTTCTTCTACACCTGACACTTCTAGACACTGGTTGAAGCTACCACCATCTAGAAGTGTCAATTTCCCAGCCACCAGTGAAGGCTGCAGAAATGTAAGCCGTACCCAAATGTTTACTTATACTGTATGCCTCTCTCCACGGGCAAAACTGTATGCACAGAGGTAAAAGATAAAGCTAAATGGTTTCCTTAATTTGATGATCATTTATGAAAGCACTTTACCTAAATATATACAGATTCACTAATAAAACACTAAAAATAATACATGAATTACAGAATGATAGTATGTTAATAAGAGCAGACACATCACAAGTGTACAGAAGTCATAAATCCATTACCTTATAACACCTGTATTTGTAGAGCAGCACCAGTAATATTGTCATGACTATAATCACACTTATCATGATCGCTGCGTTGAGGATGGAGTTCAGGGCTCTTTGTCCAACAGTTTCTGTATCTTCTGTGAAAGGGGTATATATTCTAGAAAACAGAAATGGCTGAATGTATTTTACAAAATCAAAATGTAGTCCTATAAGATGAAAACAGTTTATAATTATATAGTAGTTAATATAGTAGTCGATCACATGAATAGATTTTGTTGCATTGAGGTACATTCAAACCCGTTCAACTAAAACGTGGATCATGAGGAATTTAATATTAAACTTGTTAAGTGCAAACAGGTTACAGGGACACGCTAGGCACAAAAACAACTTTAGGTTTATGAAGTGGTTTTGGTGTATAGGTCATGAGACTTCAGTCTCAATGCTCAATTTTCTGCCATTTAAAAGTTAATGGGACACTCCAGGCACCCAGACCACTTCTGCCCATTGGAGTGGTCTGGGTGCCAACTTCCACTACCCTTAACCCTGCGAGTGTAATTATTGCAGTTTTCATAAACTGCAATATTTACATTGCAGGGTTAAGTCCTCCTCTAGATAGCCACTAGTGGACATTTCAGTGTTCACGCTATGTGAGGACCTCCAGCGTCGCTGAAATCCCCATAGGAAAGCATTATTCAATGCGCATTATGTCTCCCCCACCCTCGCATGCTCAATAGGTCGGGGAGGAGCATGGGCGGACCCTGTCCCAGTGCCGAGGGACATTGGCGCTGGATACAGGAAAGTCACTGAAGGGGTTTTAGCCCCTTCAGCAACTTGGGATGGGGGGTGGGACGGAGAGGGGACCTGCAGTGCCAGGAAAACTGTAGAACAGTACCATAAGGCAGCAAGACTCTGAGGACATCCAACCCCTCAGCCACACAACCATAGCAGCCCGGTCCTTTAAAACCCGATACAAAAGGGAATTTAATACCCACAACAATTTCCGGACAATAGCTGCGCTTGACTTATCATCCCAACAAAAGTTTAATGGTATAGGGGACACCCCCGGTGACAAGGTTCATGACCCAGACCCCAAGATAGCAGAAAACCTGATGGAGGCTAGGGTCCAGGTACCCCCCTGTGGTCTGGCAATGCATAAGACCAGACAGGTACACTTGTACCCCACCTGCATCCCCCGTCCCTCTATCCCCCGCCCCAGTTTGCACATCTCCACAGTTCACCCCAACCCCTACCCTAATCATATTCTGGTCATTGACTGATACAACGAGCACCCCCGAAAGGAATCCCACCAATGCAGATGGCTTGGGGAGCAGAGGTGGGTGAGGGCTCCACCCCGCACCATGTCCTTACATCACTACTTTATTAGAGACCCCTTCACCCAAATAACATGACCATAAAATTATCCTCACTCAATGTTAAGGGCCTTAACGCCCCTCGCAAGCGACGCACACTTTTTAGGGAACTGAAAAGACTAAACCCGGACATCGCATTCCTACAAGAGACGCATCTGCCTAGGTCTGCTCAGGTCTCCCTCCGTGACCATACCTACCGCGTAGTCGCAGAGACGCGAGCCTTCCAAAAACTAAATGGGGTAGCTATCCTCGTCCACAAGAGATGCCCTATACATCTCACCCAAGTGACAATAGATCCTGAGGGCAGATACATAATAGCGACAGGCCGAATCCACACACAAACCATACACCTGATCAACATATACGCTCCCAACACCCCATCACCACAGTTCTGGAACTATATGTCAGACACAGTCTTGTCACTACCTACAGGAGTGGTACTACCAGGGAGGCAATTTTAACGCCACTCTCTCCCCAGCAGTTGACAGGAGCACACGCCCGGGACTAGCTAGATCCCACGGTATGGGTGCACAAAATAAACAACTACACAACTTCATCTGTAAAATGGGACTCAGACGCATGGAGAGCACAACATCCCAGTCATAAAGACTATACTAACTACTAAATATGCCAAGCAGAACGCTACCAAAAGGGCATGATCTCCCTCCTTTACTCCCACCTCTGCTCCACCACATGGGAATGGGGCGCCCTCCACTACACTGACAAATGGGAAACCGACCTAGGGGAAGCTTTAGATGACATAAACTGGCAGGACATATGGGAGGAAAACACTAAAACCTCCATCTGCATCACAATGCAGGAACAGTCATACAAAACGATGTTCAGGTGGTATACCACCCCGGTTCAATTATACCACATGAAAAAGATGCCCACAGACCTCTGCTGGCGAAACTGCAGAGAGAAAGGGACATACGCCCACATGTGGTGGTACTGCCCTAAGATTAAGGTTTTCTGGACGGCAATTCAAGCACTACTAGCCCAAATTATGGACAGACCAGTAGAACTAAACCCACGGTCATTCCTGCTTGCCAGACCCAAGACGATTGGCCCAAACCAGACCAACAGCTGTTCAATAAAATAACCTTAGCGGCCAGAAGGGCAATGGCCCAAACCTGGCTACAATCAGACACCCCCCCAGTGCCCGTAGTGATCAATAAGATCAAAGAATGCCATCTTATGGACAAACACACGGCCAGAGTACGAGGCTCCACCAAAGCCTTCACCAAGACTTGGGAACTTTGGGAAACCTACATTGACCGATAAGAGCATAGAAACAGACAGGGGACGCAAAAACAATCGACTGACCGAAATGTGACCTCCCCCCCCCCCAGTACTCCAGCCCGCTGTTTTTATTTATTAAATGGTTGTTAACAGTTTGGGAGTTTTTTTTTTTGTTTTTTTTAAACAACGACACCGGATGAAAGTAGCCTGATGTTACTACTTTATGTACCTAAAATATGTACTTTGGCATCTTTGTATACTAAATCTACTACTATCTGAAAAGCCAATGGGCTCATGCACGAGCCAAACCACACACATTATTTTTGCAAAGGCACTGAATAAACAAAGAATAAAAAAAATAAATAAATAAAAAAAACTCAACTCTACATCAAGTATATTTAACATATGCCATATAAGTTGTTCTAGTGATATCTTTTCTTATTCATACATAGGTGCAGATTTTGCTTAAAGGAACACTATATAGTTTCAGGAATACAATTATGCAATCCTGACACTATATTTTAAAAACAGTTTAGGTCGGCCCCCTGTGAAAAGAGTTAAAGGTTATTTTACGCATCTTTTTTCAGTACTGCGCAGGTCTCCTCGTGGCTGGCCCTGCCCCCCTTGGCTGAGTTCATCATACTTGATGATCTCAGCCAACCCAATGTTTTGTTATAAGAAAGCATTGGGAGGCTATCACGCATGTGTGGCAAATCAGCAGCGCCTCTATGGAAAATGTTCAGAGCATCCATGCAGAGCGTGGAGATGCTAAATATCAGTGTTACATAGTGTGCAGCACTGACTCAGGAAGCACCTGTGGTGGCCCTTTGAGTAACTATCACTAGAGGTGTTCCTAGATAGTAATGTAAGCACATTACAGGTATTACATTGAACTGTAGTTGTTCTAGTGACAATAGTATCCCTTTAATTGAATTGGAAATATTTCAAACCATTGACCAACTCATTCCGTTAGTGTTGGGTACACTTTCTAAAAGATGGTGGTGCCAGTATAATTATAACTCCCTTTGGCTGGAGCCCTGTACCATCACACTGGAAGTGGAAATGCCCTCTTCAGGGAAAGACCCTGAAAATAACACTTTTCGCAAAACTTTTTTCCACGGTAAAGTACATTTTTCTTTCATTGCGCAATTACTTCCCTTCAGCATATTACAAAACCAGAGCAAACAGTGTTATTGTGGACATGTTCTATAATATCATGTGTATACCAACTCTGCAGATCTTACAACCCTGACTTTACGGACTTGAATGAGGCACTGAGAGATTACATCTGCTCCATATAATTTATGTGTGCATGCCACCTAGAGGCAAGGAAGGGGTGTTACACAATGTTGGAGGGAATAACAGGCTAACAATGAATTGACAAATGAAATGCAACATATCGAACAAAAAAAAATGTAAACAATTTGAATAATTCAATGATGTGGTTTGAACCTAAATGTGCAGTGTAACAGTCAATGAACAGTTGAGTGAAAACGCCTTTGGGAGGAGGGGAAGAAACCTAACCAATATAAGGGTACACCTAAACTTTAATTTTCAAGTATGATCTACAGAGCAAGTAAAAATACTATTGTGGTAGGTCGAAGTATATGTTTTCGGCAATATCAGGATAGTGTCAGATTAAAGATTTTCGATATCGAAGGTATATATACACACACACACACACACACACACACACACACGTACATTTACATTTGTGGAGCTCTGTAGGAGAAATAACTGCTTAATCTACCATCTTATTTAAATATGGGATGGGAAGCAACGTGCTAATTCTGGAACCAAAGCCTTAGGTGGTAGAGACAACTGGAGTGCACATGGTTGCTACATAGTGTGGTAACATGAGGAGTGGGGAGGGAGGGAGGGAAATCAGGGTGTAATTTCTGGGAAGCAGAATAAGCTATTAAGAAATTAGGAGTTAAAGAACGAGGAGAGCTGGTGTAAGCATACTGCTCAGATAGTATAAGCAATAGGCAATAAAGGGAGCTAATGTGAGCAGACAGACCAGGTAGTGCAAGTTATAGGCAGTATGGTGAGCTGGAGTGAGAAAGCTGCTCAGGTAGTATGCTACAAGCAGTGTAGATTGCTGCGGTAAGCACCCTGCTCAGGTGGGTTGCAGTCTGTGTAGAAAGCTGAACTGAGCAATCCGCTCAGGTAGTGTGGGTAACAGGAAATCTGGTGTGAGCATGCTGGTCAGGTAGTGTGGGCTATAGGAGATGTGGTGTGAGCATGCTGCTCAGTAGTGTGGGTTGAGGAGATGTGGTGTGAGCATGCTGCTCGGGTAGTGTGGGTTAAGGAGATGTGGTGTGAGCATGCTGCTCGGGTAGTGTGGGTTAAGGAGATGTGGTGTGAGCATGCTGCTCGGGTAATGTGGGTTAAGGAGATGTGGTGTGAGCATGCTGCTCGGGTAGTGTGGGTTAAGGAGATGTGGTGTGAGCATGCTGCTCGGGTAGTGTGGGTTAAGGAGATGTGGTGTGAGCATGCTGCTCGGGTAGTGTGGGTTAAGGAGATGTGGTGTGAGCATGCTGATCGGGAAGTGTGGGTTAAGGAGATGTGGTGTGAGCATGCTGCTCGGGTAGTGTGGGTTAAGGAGATGTGGTGTGAGCATGCTGCTCGGGTAGTGTGGGTTAAGGAGATGTGGTGTGAGCATGATGATCGGGTAGTGTGGGTTAAGGAGATGTGGTGTGAGCATGCTGCTCAGGCAGTGTGAGTTATAGGAGATATGGTGTGAGCATGCTGCTCGGGTAGTGTGGGTTAAGGAGATGTGGTGTGAACATGATGATCGGGTAGTGTGGGTTAAGGAGATGTGGTGTGAGCATGCTGCTCAGGTAGTGTGAGTTATAGGAGATATGGTGTGAGCATGCTGCTCGGGTAGTGTGGAGATGTGGGGCCAGCATGCTGCTCAGGTAGTGTGTGTTACAGGAAATCTGGTGTGAGCATGCTGCTCAGGTAGTGTGAGTTATAGGAGATATGGTGTGAGCATGCTGCTCAGGTAGTGTGGGTTACAGGAGAGGAGCATCTGGGGCGAGCACGCTGCTCAGTTAGTGTGGGTGTGATAGGAGATGTGATGCGAGCACGCTGCTCAGTTAGTGTGGGTTATAGGAGATGTGATGCGAGCACGCTGCTGAGGTAGTGTGGAAAAGCAAGGATAAAGTGGACAGAAAAATAAACATGTTTGAAGAAAGGTCACAGGAAACAATGGTACTTCATTGGCTTTCTGTGTCACTAATTTCTATGACATTAGTGACGCAGAAAGCAAAAAGGGTCAGCAAGCTCTGCTCACTATTTAGAATACGGCCATATTTCACAGGGAAGAAGCCACGATTGGTGATGAAACAATAGTGGGAAGAGTGTGTGTGTGTGCACACACGCAAGACACGTTAGAAGAGAAGAGATTTAAACTAATCAGCACCTTCCGAGCTTTAAATGTGAAATCTAGACACTGCAATTCAGCATCTTAGCCAATATCAGTCAGAGTTGGAAATGTTTCACAAATACCAGAGAACTCCAAAAAATTATCTTCAGTTGTGAACAGAACCTCAAAGTATATAAATTTACAAATAATAATAAATAAAAATAATAATAATACAAATTTACTTACAGCTGGCCATCTTTTCTGGTGTAAAAGCCGACAGACTTAATGGTTGCCACAACCACTACCATACAGAGTGTGACGGGCACAAAAAGCATGATCACGTGTTTAGCACCATATTTTAATGTCAGTTCTTCATCTTCCTCATCATCCTGTTCCAACACTTGCTGGGAACTGCTCTGTGTCTGTCCGTTGCTTTGAGACTCCAAACGCTCATTGTTTCTTCTTTCATTGTTATCGTTCTGCAAGACAAAACCAGGCGGAGGCATTAGAAAAACAATTATCCACTTAAAATCAATACGGCGGGTTTCAACTAATCACTTATACAAATAAGCGGCAAACCACATTTTCAAATATTATGCTTAATTATCAAGAGGCTGATTTAAACTTCTAAAATTCAGAATCTACTTGAACAATCGATTTTGCAGGTTATTTAGTATATCAAAATATACAGGGCTCAGGGGCGGAGCTCGACCATCAACCTGAACGGACGCCATTCATGTATGCTCCAATATCCAATGAATATCACGCTATCCCAAGCTGATCTAGCTACAAAAAGTGGACAGCAAGATTCCTTAACTCACCCTGAGGCAATAGATGCAATTCTTTGCGGCTTCCAACTAGCCTAAGCAGAGGTGGAAAACCGGGGCCTACCCCACGCTGACACTTACAGGCATGGAGGGAATCTTGAGCAGCACCATGGCAAGAAAAGCGTAGGACGGAGCTTCCCCAACGAAGACAGACCTGCCTGCCTACATGCCAGCCATGGGACGCCGCACACAGTGACCACAACCCGCAGCAGACAACAGGGACATCGGGTCATGATACAACGGCCCACCCAGGCTAAAACCGCTCCTGCTGAATCCCCGTGCCTTGCAGCCCACACACCACCCAGAGCAAATCGGAGCTAGAGACCTCCATGGGCACTCAATTAGAGCGCCCAACACAGCCTGACAACTCAGCTGACATGACTCCAACCACCAGTAGCTACACTACGGAGAAGCGACATCCAAACACCTCTGATAACGCACAAATGAGACCTCAGTCCTCTATGCACTCATCGCATCCTCACTTCAATCCTCACCAAACGCAAGCATGCCGAAACCTCTGATATGCTGCCTCCTATATAGCCCCCGGCATCATGGGAACATGGCACTAGGATCGAGTAGGTGAACTACACCTCTACAACACACATGAAGGGTTCTATCCCCTACAGTAAGACCTAGGGCCACATTCATAGCATGTATAAAATTGGTGCAGTAACAATGTTTTCCAATCACACCAAGTTTTGCATTAATATTTTTCTACCACAAACCACTGTTCAATGTATGGTATATGCAATGCACTGCAGAAATAAAGAATTTAAAAAGTATATTTTACACACACACACACACACGTAAAAATTTTGCATAGTTGTATATGAATTCAGCCCTGGAGAATGTAACAGGCTATAACAAACCCTTCAAGCCTGCAGTACCCATTTATTTTTTAATTGTACTTTTTTGAAAGAAAAAAAAATTCTTGCAAGAGGGAAGAAGGGGGAAAAAATGGCCAGAAAATGTTAAAGCCTGGTTAGGGGCTGTAAGACTTGAGGTTTTAAGCAATGTATTTCTATACAGACACGCACACACGGTAAATCATCAGAATTCCTTTCTTTCGTAAACACATTAAAATACAATGCCCATGTAACTATTCCAAGTCATTATATACAAGGTTTTCTCTTGGGGATATGCAGAACGTATGCGTACTTTAAAGGAGCAAGTCATGCACTATAACCACTACAGCATGCTGTAGGGACAATTTATCGGAGAGCATCAGATGACCGAGCTCAGCCATTGAGCGAAGCCTTAAACCTCTGCTTAGCTCAGTGCAGAGCTCTTCAAGCTGCGAAGAGGCAGGGAGTGTCACCCAATGTAGCATTAGTTTCTCACAGCTAAATTAAAAACAAAACAAAACAAAAAAAAAAAATTACAAAAAAAAAGTGTCAGGAGCTTGCATGTTCAGGCATCCAACAGAGCATTCACATACGTGCGGTCAGGATATTCTCCAGCAGTGCTGTAAACAAGCATGTGTGCCATGCACACAGCACTGCAAAAGTTAAAGGGTTACTCCAAGCATGACCACTTGGTGGATTTGAAGTGGTCATAGTGCCTGGAGTCGGTTTTGCTTTGAAATACTGCACACATGCAGTTTAACCTCTCTGCTGCCAGAGGTGTAACTGGAGCGTCATTAGCCAGGCTGGTAAATGTCAACTCTCTAAATTCACAGGCACAGACTAGCATATGCTAACTGCTTTCAGGCAATGAATGGCCAGCGAGATCAATAGCGACAGGAGGACCAGGAATCAGGACAAGGGTACTCCCGGCACCTTAACCACAAACTAATTTATATGGTTTTGTTCGGCAAAGTATTAAATTTAAAGGAAAAAAAAAAATGCCAAAGACAAAAAAAAAAATTCAATAAAAATATAAAAAATAAAATAATTTTAACTAAATTGTAGGGACCAAAAACTACATTCATTTATACTTTGTCTTTTATAATTTGTTTAACTCACCACAGAATCTCACTGGTTATTTGGGCAATATGCTTCTCAATTTACTACAATTCTTTTGGCACGGATTGCCAAACACATTTTCAGATATTCAATGAGCTAGCAAGTGCCTATAAAATATTACATTTTATAAAAGGATATAAAACATTGACAGGCTGTTGTAAAGGCATATAATGAATGAGATATTGTAGAGTGCAAGCTTTGTGGTTTATTTGCTAAACACAGAATTGAAAACAAAATCAAATTAACTGCAATTAAATCTGCCTTGTAAACGGTTTTAAGGCTGGATTCTGGATTGTTTTCAAAATGCTTCTCCTTTATAATGTAAGGCTCCTGTTAATGCTTAATACAAACACAGATCATTGATAAACTGGCAAGGGTAACAGTGGTCCTATTACGGCTGCATTTGTGTTAATAGGTTAGGGATTGGTATCAGTTGTACAGAAATCACAATGGTTTACTGCAGTTTGATACTCACAGGGTGGTGCACAAGCAACGGAATATATTCTTCTTCCTCCGACATAGCTTAGCTCACTGGGTAGGAGAGGAAGTTGCACCATAACCTGGCCAATGTGCAATAGCATGATAAGCTAGTATCGGACAGGAAAAACTGCCTGTAAAAACAGACACTGCCAGAAAGCTAGTCTCTGGTTAGGTATTAACCAGGACATAAACCCTGAGAGAAAGGTTTGCACAGATCCATGTTAATATGTTTAATGCAAGGTGTTTGTAAATCGCTAATATACAGGTATCAAGAAACCACAAAAAACCCAAGTAGAAAAGAACATTTTAGGATTCAGTGATCAATCACAATATTTAAATTTAAATGGTCAAGCTAAGCCCCACAGCAAAGTTTACGGTACAGAAAGAATCCTGCCCTGGTCTTCCAGGTAACAGGGGCTTATGAATGCACGATATACAAATATCACTGCAGGTATAAGACAGCCCCCTTGGCCTTACACATTAAAACGAGAAATTGAAAAGTCCTTTCTTGTGCAAGAGTCGTCCAACTTGAATGTGATTTCACACACCAAACTTGGACATACATACCTTTCCTCCCCTGGGGAGAGGTAAGATGCAGAAGCATGCGTGGGCAGTCCATAACTCGGCAGCACACTGCACTCAGCTTGGCTCACAAAACTGAATAAACCGATCGCAAACACAGTGAACCAGCTGGCCCGTGCACCATATTAGCCAACAAGTCATACCTGTAATAGAGAGTGGTGCGGGGGGATTCAACAGAATTGTCCCTTCTCCACGATGTTCTTTACCTTGGACCCTATCATTAGACTTACTTATGTCTGATGCCTTGACTGGCATACAGATTGCTTATCGCTCCATTAAGTTAACCTCTTTTGTGGACTATTTTCATATATATATATATATACACACACACACACCATGGCTGTGGATTTAGTAAAATGAATTAAAGCCTGTAATAGTGCTATATATATATATATATATATATATATATATATATATATATATATATATATATATATATATATATATATATATATATATATATCTCACTATTACAGGCTTTAATTCATTTTACTAAATCCACAGCCATGGTGTTAACTACCAAGGATCCCGCAGAGCAACACATCCTCTTACAGTTTCACTGGGAACAAGCAAGCATAAAATACCTGGACAGACTATTGCCCCCAATACATTGCAGGGTTAAGTCCACCTCTCGTGGCAGCTTCTGCTGCACTGACTGAGGAAAACTCGGTTAATTGACATGGAAGCCCTTGATTCAATGCTTTCCTGTGCCACACATGTGTATTAGTTCCCAATGCTCCCGTATGAGGAGTATTGGATTATACTACGCCAGAGGAGGCCACGCCTCACAGGACAAGGAAGGGTGAGAAGCACTAAAGGAACCCCAGTGCTGGAAAAGGGGGGAGTAAAACATTTTTTTTTGCACTGGGAGGTGGGGGCTGACTACAAGTAGGAAAGGGGCACTATAGCATTAGGAATATATAATTATTTTCCCTGCTTTAGTGTTACTATAAATCTAAAATTTCTTATGTTTTTCAGTCCTTTGCCTTCAGTTCTGCAGATGACAACATTTATTTCTACACAGTTTTTAACCTTCGTGTAATGGAATAAAAAAAATAAACCACACACACACACACACCAATCCAAGTTCAATGTTGGCCACAATCTTCCTAACCTTACTGACTACAGCTTGGCGGCTGTCATGCTGTGAACTGAATTACTGGGGAAGACAGGTACACACCAACACACCTTATGTAGACCTCCACTCTCTACAACAAATTCAACACTTTCCACCATCCCACAAACAGGTTAGGCTGTGGCCAGGTCTTTAAATGGCAATTTTCACACTTTATGCACTTCTTAAACAAATGTTTTATTTCAGGAAACATTAGCTAGCTACTCAAATATACATCAAATCACATTTATCTGTTTCCAACTAAGCGCTATTCATTGAACACACTATGAGAACATCAAACCTCACTTGGACTATACTCCTCAGATTTTGGATAATGGGAGACAGTCTAACAACACCATGTTCTTCCTCTACTCTTAATATGCTGGCAGCAGCCACATGGCATGAGATGGGTTTGAAGATTTACCATCACGCTTACGTCTAGATCGACAACATTGTTTCAAAATTAGATCTTTATCCGAGTGTTTGAAAGGAGAGGAGGCAGACCTGTATCACCGTGTCCATGGACCCATTCTATGATTTTGGAGGGCTATTCAAGCTACTCTCTTGCATATTCCATGTCATCTTTCCCCTGAATTGCCCATAATGGGCTTTTTCCCACCTCACTACCTGCTAACTCTAAGGTCTTGATTTAACAAGCTTTACAAATGTTTCAACACTATTAGAAAAAAAAAAAAATATTATTCATCTACATAAGTCACAATTAGTCTATAGGAATGTTTGTAGATAAATAATTTTGAAAGTTCTCCTAGTAGTAGTGAATCATTTGGAAAGCTTATTGAATCAAGACCTTATTCCTTAATAACCTTTAATCCTTATTCTTTAAGACGTAGCTTCAAAAACCATTTTGCAAAGTTGGATTCACGTGGATTCTCCTACTATGGTCCTTTTTAGATCCAAGTTATTCTTTGACTTCCATATGGATTGTTTGGAAACAGGTACCATCGCACAGTACTTGCAAGCCCAATAACACACTGACCAAACGCTTTTTCAAAAATGTACTTTCCTATAATAACTCTCTAGAGATACACCTATTAGACAGAAACTTCAATACACATTCCGTTTGACTAACTGGTACCTGCACCAAGTGCTATTAAACAAATTCCTGATTCTCTTGTAGACCTGGTCTACAGGTCTGTAAATTATTGTCCTTCCATATTTGTTTCAACCCTCCCTTCCTTAAAGGAAACCGGTCAAGGCCAAAATTACTTTAGCTCTTTTAAAATATCTTGGAATTCTATCTATACTTTGCAATTATTACTTTAAGAAAAAATGACTTACAAATAGGTTTTTCTCCCATCTGTCTCATAATTCCCTGGAAGACACTCAATGCCGAGGAATTGAGACTCAAGGAGAGAATAAGAGAGGGGTCCCTCTGCTTTCTATGTATAGCAGTTTTTGCTATGGCAAATCCTGCTAGAGCCAGCTAGGGAGTATAGGAAAGTAGTTATGTGACATCACTCCATTAAGATGCTGTCAGTGAAGCTAGCATGTTGACATCATGGATGAGGTTTGCCCAGCTTGGGTAAGTGTCCCTAATCAGGGCAAATCAACAAAAAGCAAAGAAAGAGCACCAAGTGGACCAGAGGTGGGTGTTACAGAAGTCTAACACCCACCTCTGTAATGAGATTGCGATGGGGAACCGGATGGCCCGGTAAGTGGTGACAGTTTCCTATTAAACTTGTTGCTGTTAATCTCCCAGGCGTTTTTACCACTAACAAATATTGTATTGTTACCAGGCGCAATATTCTAAGGGTAGAGCTAGTAGATATTTGCTGTTATTTGTTTTATCTGATCCCTTTCCTTAATTATCAAATATAATTGCCTGCATTTTGGTACAATGCAAAAGATGTGCGAAATGTCTTGAGAAAGGACCACGAGTGGGTCCGGAACGTTGACACTGCACAATTAAAAACTTTTTTACTTTTTCATAACAAAGTCCTGCGAGTGCCTACTTCTTTCCAATATTTGAAGAATGTATTATAGTTCTACTGTGGAGCATCGAGGCTATATTATCTAAAGATTTTCATGGTTCTCAGAACCGAAAACAGTGAGTGCCTTCAAACTTCTATTTTACCGAGAGATATAGATAGAGAGATATATAGAGATTGAGTTAATGCATTGCTAAAACACAAATACACACACCAGTCAAGCCATAAGACTTACTTTTCCCACAGAAATCTCACTTCGCAGTGCTCTCACTACTGCAAGCGAGATAGCACGCGTTCCTTTAAAATGTATGCTGTATGGATTTACAACTTTTCAAACACTCATCTCGAAATGTTTCTCTACATGAGACATTTCAATAACTCACATTGGACAAATCCAGACATCGCACAGTACTTGCAAGCCCAAGCATGAAAGTGCTGTGTGTGTAGTAGAGTCAGCAGGAAATGACCAAAAAAAGGGAGTGAGAAACCCACTCCAAAAAAACAGGAAGAACACTACCAAACATGTAAACATCTTATTCACAAACAGATAATTACAGAGTACGTTATCGTACACAGTGTTATATTAAAATAAACTTCTATATTTGCTAGCAAAAGTACTATTGTTGTGTAAAATCCTTATAAAAATGTAAAACAAAGAAAAGTCAATGTCAACAAAGAGACAGGCCCTGCTTTGCAAAGTGTACTCAATCAGGGCCAATAGGGAAGTAGGGGGAATCAAGCTTGATACTCATTTTATAGATTCTTATTTATATAATAAAAAAACCACACACTTTGGCATTGCACTTCATTTCCCATGATGCTCTGCTGGCTTAAAGAGATGCTGTTTAAAATGTTATGACGAGGACTGCTGTATTTACCATGTTAGCCTGATGGTTCTCTATTAAATCTTCTGTCACTTGCCCATGCTGCATATGGGTCAAAGATGCCGACACTTCATTCATTTGGACATCAGATGTTTAGTATCAGAAAGAGAAACTTTAATTCCACCTGCGGAGAGAAAAAAAAATATGTATATTTCACTGTGAAAACATATGAGGAATAAGAACATATACAAAAAAAAAAAAAAAATTCTAATTAGTAAAAGGGATCTGGGAAACAGCAATATTTACATTTGTCAGAGAACACGATTCTAGTGGCACTTTCCTTATAAAGCCTTAGAAAAACCGCTAGGCTCATAATGATGCGAACACTGATTACACTATAGAGAAGCACTGCATTGGCAGAACTAAGCAATGGCCACACATGCTCCCTATGTCCATACTATTTATAACACAGACACTGGATTGTGCAAAATTCATTAGGAATTATGACGACAACATGACGCTGGATTAAAGGAACACTAAAGTCACCTAAATTACTTTAGCTAAATAAAGCAGTTTTAGTGTATAGATCATTCACCTGCAATTTCACTGCTCAATTCACTGTCATTTAGGAGTTAAATCACTTTGTTTCTGTTTATGCAGCCCTAGCCACACCTCCCCTGCCTATGATTGACAGAGCCTGCATGAAAAAAAAAAACTGGTTTCACTTTCAAACAGATGTAATTTACCCTAAATAATTGTATCTCAATCTCTAAATTGAACTTTAATCACATACAGGAGGCTCTTGCAGGGTCTAGCAAGCTATTAACATAGCAGGGGATATTAAACAGAACTTGCAATAAAGAAAGCTTAAATAGGGCTCTCTTTACAGGAAGTGTTTATGGAAGGCTGTGCAAGTCACATGCAGGGAGGTGTGACTACGGTTCATAAACAAAAGGATTTAACTCCTAAATGGCAGAGGATTGAGCAGTGAGGCTGCAGGGGCATGTTCTATACACCAAAACTGCTTCATTAAGCTAAAGTTGTTCAGGTGACTATAGTGTCCCTTTAAGTTTTATTGGAATTTATTTATAAAAAAAAACCAGCTGTAAAACAACCTCAGTAACCAAGTTATAATGACACACAATCAGTCAAGTAAGCACCTTAATTAGCCTCTTACAAGGGAGGTTTCCAATAATTAGAAGCAGGCAGTGTCACTATAGTAAGGGAGTGACAGTGCTGCTTTTAAAGAAAGAAGCTGGTAGTGATAAGGAGGTATGAGAAGTGAGAAATGATTGCGTGTATCAATAAAGCATTATGCCAAGACCTTATTTTCATGTTGGCCATTTATCAACAATTTTGTGTTTGGCATATTAGTCGACCCCTAATTTTTAGGAAATTTATTTTGAATGCATAAAATGACGACTTATATGTCAACATATATCGTAATTTGTAATACAATAATTGTAAATAATTATAAAGAAATATAAGGAGCTAGAGGTACGATAACAGAACAGTCAGAGTCACAGGTTTTGTGTACCAGACTCCACATGCCTGAATGTCATAAGGTTGTCATATTTCACAAGTCAAAAAGCCAGCATGCAGTGCATTTTCTCATTGAGTTAGATGTAATGAACAGCATACTGACAAATATCGAATTTTGATGATTGCTGTATACAGTCTTGTGTTTTGTGCAAATGTAAGGAAATATAAGCAGTACTTTCTCTGATTATTTCTCTAAGGAGCAAATCTTGGCATCATCTGTTCAGATGCTGATTTACAAGTAACGATGCAATAGTGTGGGTACCACCTCCATGATGATTGAATACAATGCTCCTAACAGAGGACCTAATGTCCAGGTAGTGCCACACTACAAACTTACCCTCAGAAAAGTATTGAGTCAATGGGTTCATATGCGGACATCAGAGTCACATGACCAAGTCTTATTTGGTCAGTGCCTCTATAGGATGCCATACTGACAGAGGTGGACTTAAACCCATTGCAGTTTCTAAAAATGTGTAATGTTTCACACTGAAGGCTTAAAAGGACAGGGTCACTGCACCCTGACCACTTCATTGAGATTTAGTGGTCTGGTGACAATAGTGTTCCTTTAATGGAACTACATGAATACGAGGGATCGACCGATATAATTTTTTTAGGGCCGATGCATCTCTATGAGGAAAATTCAGCGTCCCCATGCAGAGCGTGGAGACGCTGAACGGCATGGCTGCCTACTGTGCAGCACTGAGCCAAATAATTTGATATAATTATTACATTGTTTAATAATATTAAAAAGTAATTTTTTGTATTCCCTCCTCCCTGCCTTTTACCAGGGAGGAGAGTATTACATTTCATGGAGATCCAGTGGCTTTGTGCAGGCTGCCAGGAGGGTGGGGGGGTTGCATTGTAGAGGGGGCAGTTAGGACACCATCTACTGTTCTCTCGCCAACTCTCTTGAGCCAGGTGTCCGCATAGAGCGTTGCTTTGATTTCTGGGGGGCAATCAAAGTTGCGGAGTTGTGCTGCAGATAGCATGGGCTGGGTCCTAGCCACCATCTGCATTATCAGTATCATTATAGGCAAATATTGATATTGCTGTAAATCGGACAAGAACATTAACCAGACCGATAATCAGTCAATCCCTATATTAATAAGTCTCATTTTAATGGTAGCACTGTCACTATATTAATAAGTCTCATTTTAGAGGTAGTACTGTCACTATATTAATAAGTCTCATTTTATATGGTAGTACAGTCACTATATTAATAAGTCTCATTTTATATGGTAGTACAGTCGCTATATTAATAACAGTCTCATTTTAATGGTAGTACAGTCACTATATTAATAACAGTCTCATTTTAATGGTAGTACAGTCACTATATTAATAACAGTCTCGTTTTATATGGTAGTACAGTCACTATATTAATAACAGTCTAATTTTAATGGTAGTACAGTCACTATATTTATAACAGTCTCATTTTAGAAGTAGTACAGTCATATTTATAACAGTCTCATTTTAGAAGTAGTACTGTCACTATATTAATAACAGTCTCATTTTTAATGGTAGTACAGTCACTATATTAATAACAGTCTAATTTTTAATGGTAGTACTGTCACTATATTAATAAGTCTCATTTTAGAGGTAGTACAGTCACTATATTTATAACAGACCCATGTTAATGGTAGCACAGTCATTATATTAATAACAGTCTCATTTTTAATGGTAGTACTGTCACTATATTAATAACAGTCCCTCATTTTAGAGGTAATACTGTCACTATATTAAGAACAGTCTCATTTTTTATGGTAGTACAGTCACTATATTAATAACAATCTCATTTTAGAGGTAATACTGTCACTATATTAATAACAGTCCCTCATTTTATGGTCAGCATCCTCACTAAACTGATATTAGTCCCTTTATTTTAGAGGCTGTTAGATCACCATTATTATAATTGTCCCTGTAATAGGAGGCCTTAATATGCCCATTGAATAACACAAATTAGCAGCCACCTGTTACAGTCACACCCTGACAGCCCAAAAGATGCTGTCCCCCTTCTCAGGGTGGATAAACTGCCTGGCTGGAAGACATACAGCTTCCGGGGTGCCCCAGCTGAGACAATGGGGACCAATATATCAGAAAGAAACATGGACGCCCCACGTGTGCAGCACATTTAAATACTCCCCCTTCCCCACCCAGCTACATGGACCTACCCGCTCTCCGCTAGGGCCAATTCAAACCCGTTGAGTTCCCCCCACCGCTTGCAGGTTTGGAGTTTGCCGCGAGCTTGGTACTGGGCACTGCGGATTTCTTTAGGCAGGTGTATACAAAAAGAGAAACACTTCCGAGTCAAACCGCGCCCCGGAAACTGTCACCCCGTCCTCACTCCGCCGCCATGTTGGGAGGGGAAGAGGGAAAAACCTGAGGTTGTTTATGACAACAAGTACAATAAATACAACAATAGCTTCCATGTATACATTCATAACCTGTAATAAAATATTTGGAAATGTTATTTGGTTTGTGGACCCAGGATATACTTGAAGGCGAGAGAAATCTCAATGTATCTTTCCTGGTAAAATATTTTATAAATAAATAATTTGAATTGCTTTCATTTTTGTGTGAAAAAAAAACCAAAACAATTTTATTCAGTAAAGTTCATATCTTCTAAGTGTCCCTATGTAGGAGGACCAGTCCCTAATATGCCTGCATCGCTTTTTTTTTTTTTTAATCCTAATGTCCCCAGGGTTAGCCCCCCCACCCGTCCCCATATTGAGAATTTTAACAAAATACTATTCCATTTGTTAGATCAACAATTTTTTTCATTAAATCTACTCTAATATATGTGGTATTAACAATCATTTTCAGGGGGGGGGGCTAACCCATAGCCAGCCCCCCTTCAACAAAAAATTGTACAAAATGTTGTTGATTATGATAGCTCTACATTAAATCAGGTTTGATCAGGCAAAATTTTAGTTAGGTCTACTCTAATAACTGAGATATTGCATATATAATTAGGGGGGGCTGGCCCCCCCCTCAACTGAAATTTGGACAAAATGTTACTGATTTTGGTAGATATTCGTTAGATCAGGTTTGATCAACAGTTTTTTTAGTTAGATCTATCATGCAAGAGGCGGTATTCACTACTTAACTATGTGGGCGTGACTACGGATTAGCCCCCCCCAACTGAAATTTTTTTTTTTTTTTATTGATTTTGGAAGATATTCGTTAGATCAGGTAAGATCAACAGTTTTTTTTAGTTAGATCTATCACGCAAGAGGCGGTATTCACAACTCAACTTTGTGGGCATGACTACGGATTAGCCCCCCTCAACTGAAATTTGAATTTTTTTTTATTAATTTTGGAAGATATTTGTTAGATCAGGTAAGATCAACTGTTTTTTTTAGTTCGATCTATCACGCAAGAGGCAGTATTCACTACTTAACTTTGTGGGCTTTGCTACGGGTTAGCGCCCCCCCCCCCAACTGAAATTTGAATTTTTTTTTTATTGATTTTGGTAGACATTCGTTAGATCAGGTTTGATCAACAGTTTTTTTAGTTAGACCTATCATGCAAGAGGCGGTATTCACTACTTAACTATGTGGGCGTGACTATGGGTTAGCCCCCCCCAACTGAAATTTTAATTTTTTTTTATTGATTTTGGAATATATTCGTTAGATCAGGTTTGATCAACAGTATTTTTTAGTTCGATTAATCACGCAAGAGGCAGTATTCACAACTCAACTTTGTGCTTTGCTACGGGTTAGCCCCACCCCCCCCTCAACTGAAATTTGAATTTTTTTTTTAATTGATTTTGATAGATATTCGTTAGACCAGGTTTGATCAACAGTTTTTTTTAGTTAGATCTATCACGCAAGAGGCGGTATTCACAACTCAACTTTGTGAGCGTGACTACGGATTAGCCCCACCTTGACTGAAATTTGAATTTTTTTTTATTGATTTTGGAAGATATTTGTTAGATCAGGTTTGATCAACTGTTTTTTTAGTTAGATCTATCATGCAAGAGGCGGTATTCACAACTTAAGTTTGTGGGCGTGACTACGGATTAGCCACCCCCCCTCAGCTAAAATGTTAAATTATTTTTTATTGATTTTGGTAGACATTCGTTAGATCAGGTTTGATCAACTGTTTTTTTTAGTTAGATCTACCATGCAAGAGGCGGTATTCACTACTTAACTTTGTGGGCTTTGCTACGGGTTAGCCCCCCCCCCCCCCAACTGAAATTTGAATTTTTTTTAATTGATTTTGGAAGATATTCGTTAGATCAGGTTTGATCAACTGTTTTTTTAGTTAGATCTATCACGCAAGGGGCGGTATTCACTACTTAACTTTGTGGGCGTGACTACGGGTTAGCCCCCCCCTCAACTGAAATTTGAAACTTTTTTTATTGATTTTGGTAGATATTCGTTAGATCAGGTAAGATCAACAGTTTTTTTCGTTAGATCTATCACGCAAGAGGCGGTATTTACAATCCTATCTTGTATGCAGGGGAGAGGTGAGTACGTTAGCCCTCCCTCAACTGGAATTTTTTTTACAAAAAAATCTAGATATACTTTATTTAAAAAATTTTTAATGATTTTTTGGTTCACATTTATGTGCAGTAACATAAAATCAAGGCAGCATTGGCATCCAGGGTAACAATAGAATGTACAAGCGAAATTGCAAACTCATGATGTCCATAGCTTACTAACTGATAACGCTTTACAATACATGACTTCTTCACATTGTCACTGCCCCTCCACCCCCTGTCACTGCCCCTCCACCCCCTTGTAACTGCCCACCTACCCCCATCACTGCTCCTCCACACCCCCACCCACAGTCACAGTTACTCCACCCCCACCCTGTGACCCCCACCCTGTCATCGCCCCCCTTCACACACCCTGTCACAGCCCTCCTTCACACACCCTGTCACCCCCACCCACACCCTATCATCCCCACGCACACACACGGTCACCACATACAGTATCAGCATTCCCAAACACTTTCAGCCCCCACACGGCAACGATAGATTCCATGGGGTGCCGGGATTCACGAGAAGAGCCTTCACCCGGCGGAGCTGGAGAGGTGAAGGTTGAGAGCCCCTGCAGTGCCACCGCACCACCAGGGAATATGCTGACCACCGCTCCTCCCTGGATGCAGGTAAGAAACAAGGAGGGAGGAGAGGGGTGGGGTAAGCACTTAAAAAAATATATTAAAATAAGTATAATAAAAAGCTGCTCCCCTCTCAGACCCCTGTCCTAGCCTGCAAAGCCTCTCACACTACACCCCACCTCTCACAATCACACACAATGTACCCCACACACACAGGGATGTTTTAGCTGCTAGGCAAACAAGGCATTTGCCTTGGGCGGCATTTTCCAGGGGTGGGAAAAAAAGCCGCCCCCAAATGCCCAGGGCAAATGTCTTGTTAGCCTTGTTAGCCAAATGTCTCCCAGCATCACTCTGCGGCGCGCGAGAGAGCTGAGCAGACAGCTCAGGGGAAAGTGCTCCCTCGCCAGCGCCGCCCTCCCGACCACCCGCCCAGCAGCCCCACTAGACCCCAGGGAGAGGGAGATTCCCCCCCCCCAGCATTCCCAAAGGTAAGGAGGCTGGGGGAGTTAAATAAAAAAAAAAGTGTGTGTGTTAATGTGAGTGAGTGAGTGTGTGTCTGTTAGTTTGTGTGTGTGTGTTAGTGAGTGAGTGTGTGTGTCTGTTAGTGAGTGAGTGTGTGTGTGTTGCCTGTTAGTGAGTGTGAGCGTGTTGCCTGTTAGTGAGTGTGTGTGTGTTAGTGTGTATTTGTCTGGTAGTGTGTATTTGTCTGTTAGTGAGTGTGTGTCTGTTAGTGAGTGTGTGTGTCTGTTAGTGTGTGTGTGTCTGTTAGCTAGTGTATGCGTATCTGTCAGTGAATGTGTGTCTGTGTGTATTTAGAAGGCGGGGCAGGGGGGAAGGGTTGGGTAGGGCAGCACAAAACCAGGATACACCACTGCACACACACTGCACCCATCACAATCACACACACTGTACCCCTCGCAATCACATACACTGTAACCCTTACACACTGCACCCCTCACAATCTCACACACCGCACCCCATTTCTATTTACACGCGGCGTGTGTTTGTGCCTTAGGGTGCACACAATAATCCAAAAGGCTACGCACGCCTTTGTATGCAAGTATAACCTGAGTAATGCTGTGTATGACTGTGTTAATGAAGTGCATGCAGTGTGTGTCGATGGTGGTCCACTGGAGCTGGAGGACAGTGAAGAGGAAGCCCTGAATGATCTTACAATCAGTGCCAGACTGGCCCACCAGGATACCAGGAAATGTCCCGGTGGGCCGCATCAAGCTCTAATAACAGCAAGCTCTAATAACCAGTGTGACGAAAGCAACTTCGCCACTGGTTTTTGGAGGGACCTGTGATAACCCATGTTCAAAAGCACTGTTCCTGCTTAACCCTCAATACGTAGCCTCGTCTCGTTATTGTAGGGAATTGCTATATTCACACTGGGGATTTGTATCCTGCCCTGAGCTCTAATCACTTACCTCTTAAGAGCTGTTCCTGATACGCTCTCCTGGAGGAGAGGTCTTTCCCACACGGTCCTGGATGTCAGAGGTTGATCCAGGGTGGAAGGAAGACGACGAGACTCCAGTTAAGCTACGGCGGTTGTGGAGTCTGCGGTGGTTGTGATGTCCGGTGCGGTGCTTATGGTCCTCCGCGTCAGCTAGAAAACGTCCGTCAACGGAGGTGCCCAGTCGGGGTGCCAGGTGATCTGTAATAACCAGCCTGTCAGACCGAGGAGAGTAAGGAGGGAGGAGCAGGGGGCTGGTGCGGCTGCCAGCGGCTGGAGGGAGACCTATCGGTCTCCCTGCACAGCGTAAATCAATTTTGGCTGCATGCCCCGCCCCCATGCAGAAGCACCGCCTCCTGAACAGAAGCTCAGCCTTCCGCACGCCAGCTCTGCCCCCACGCACGTTGCTGACCTTGCTGCACACTGGACCACTAGGAAATAATTACAGAAAACTAAAAGGTATTTACCCTTTCACAGCCCCCTACCCACATCCACCTTCCAGAACCCCTACCCACTCACAGTTTTCCTACCCTCCTACCCACCATACAGAACCCCATACCCACCATACAGTACCCCTATCCACTCACAGCCCCCTTATCCACTCACAGCCCCTCCACCCACCTTCCAGAACACCTACCCACTCACAGTTTTCCTACCCACCATACAGCCACACTACACACCATACATAATCCCCTACCCACTATACAGAACCCCATACCCACTCACAGTCCCACTACCCACCATACAGCTCCCATACCCACCATACAGAACCCCTACCCACC